GTTGACTTTACTATGTCATAAACTGTACAAGGTAAAAGTCCAATATGGAAAATAAATAATAATTATAACGGTTTTTGACGGGGTAAACAATAAAAAAATATTAGATTCTAAAAAAAATTATTCACAAAAATACGTGTTTTTATTGTTATTATTTTTTTTTTTTTTAAACATAATTATTATTTCCAAAAAGAAACGTACTTCTCCTCGTCTGTTTCAACGGAAAAAATAAGTATAGGGACGCTGAAAAAAAAAAAAATGAAAAACAGTAGTAAAGTTCAGTTCCCACGCGTCCTCCATCAAGTCGACCATTAAACTAATAGTGATGATACTAAAAACAAAATAACTTTTACACAAATAATGTGTGTAGTTCGTATAGTTGACCTGAAACAAAATAATACGACTTAATATGTTTTTTTTTTTTTTACAATATTTAGTATTTAATTGTTATTGTTGGGGTTTGAGCGTTTAAAAAAATTTAATTTTTTTATCTCGTCGAACAAAGTCTCGGCATTTTTGTTTTTGGACTACCCTCCGAAAACCATTACATGTATATTGGGCCGGTATGTAGCATTGTATAGGTTACGGGCAATAATATTATTTGTAAATTGTACAATGTGTACCTAGTACTAACCGTATAATAATTGTAAGTAATTGTAAATAATACGCACAGGCCAAACGGAAGTACGAGGACATTTCAGACTTGTATAGCCGCCGAGTTGTTACACGCGTACAAGAGGAGTCGACAACTGTCAAGATACATGCGGTAGGTGGATAATTCATTTTAATCAAACGTATAAAACCGTTCCGAGTGTTGATTAGACAGTTATATAATAATAATCTATGTTTTTGCTGTCCACAACATTTCCTTTTCCGCTGAATTACGATAAATTACCTTTTCCGTTCGGCACGATACTATAATATATAAGTATACCGAGCCAAGTACGGCATACCATATGATTGAATATTATTATGGTTTTCGAACCTATATTATTGTTCGCGTTCTAGTCTCTACGAATTCAGGAGTTACGTTAGAGCAAGTTATTTTTAATGTCATAATCTTTTTATCTTTTATAGTAGATACTTTGTTTATAATGACTATAATTCTATAAGCCAATACGTTTTTATGTTACAATTAAATTACTCTTTAAATGCGTAGTTACACCTGGATCAATAAATATTTTACTAAGTTTGTTATCAATTATTATAAAGAGGCTGTTTTAATAAACATTTCGATAAGAATAAATTGAAAAAAATTGTTTAATAAACATAAAAAAAAAAAGAAAAGATTTTTCAGCTGTCCATATATTTATCAAATAAATTAAAACGTGAGCGCTAAACGTTGCACTACCTAATAATTATTTTACACTTCAAATGAAAGTAATTTTAATCTTTTGCAAAGTCGCCTGTCATTTATTTTATTTTGCTTCAAGTTTTTTTTTTAAAAAAAATAGTAAGTAACTAGTATGAGAAATAAATTAATTTAGATTCTGAGCGAAGCGGGTTTTACAATTGTGTTCATTTTTTTTTTCTGGGAACAACTTTCCTACCAAAAATTTTGATCGGATTTTTAAGTGTAGCATTTTTTCGGAAATTAAATTTTGTAAGCGGTTTCCACAATAGTCGGGAAAATCAGGGAAATACGGTTTAATCATTTTCAATTTTTTATTTTTATTGTAATTCAGTAAAAAATATGATATACAGCTCCGAAGTTGAGAACAAAAAAAAAACAAAAATAACAATTAGTCACAGAAATAAAAATAAAGTTTGATTAACGGACTAAGGTTTTATAATTTATATACATAATGACTGTGGTGACAATATTATGTGCGGCTACGAAGCCCCGAACTCGTCAAAATAGTTAAAAATTGGAAACATTTCTAATGGTTTGTTTAATCGTTATACCAAGTGGAGTAAATTGGACGTGGTAATTTTATTGTTGCCCTTGTCGTTGTTGAAGTGGTTATTTTAGTGTATTACCTACTAAGAACATTTAGAAGTAGTAATAAGCCAAGATTACCTAGACTAAGATTTTAATCCGCGGTAATCTGATTACTAGTAAGGTATCGGCGTATCACACAACAGTTTATCCGACCACGGATGACAATAATTTCACGAAGTTTTAACTCGTTAAAACAAAATTAAAGGAGTGCAAAGACGAAAGACAGATTGGAAAGTTTAATTAAAATTGAATTAGTAATTACATGTGAGCACAGAGCAAGATCGTGAACCAAATACTAAACGCGTTATAGATTATTTTTCGACGAAAAGTTCATTATTAACTTAATAAGCTTTAACATATTTCTTTAATTCTAATAAAAATATAATATGAATTATTTATATTATACAGGGTGTACCACAAAGAATATATCAATTGAAATAGTTTTTTAAGTAATTTTCGAAGTATAAAATATGTGCAGTCCTTATTCCCATGAGTAATAAAAAAAAAAAAAACATTATCTTTATTATCTCCTTAGATATTACAACGTGTTATTTTCATCAGATGGCATCCTGTAGTTGTATTTACCGAAATATATTACACTTGAATGGTTTAATTCCCAAAAACCTTGTTACAACTATAATAATTTTAATTCGTTTTTTAATAACATTAAACACAACACTATAACAGTTGTCAACAGTATACCTGGCATAACACGTAGCGACTTAATAAATTAACGTTAAATTGTTGACGATAACAAACTATTATCATTTATCAATTACCCGGCGACCGTTGTCTATAATCATTGTGATAACAAATGTTCTCATCGATCGCAGAACGTTCTGCGTACGAGGTACGGCCCGCGTCCGTTTCTGTATTATCTACGGGGCCGTGCGTTTATACTCAGTTTGGACGAAGCCGCTTACGCATGCGTTACGTGCGTTTCATATAAATATTACCCGAAGGAGGAATATGAGTCTCTTTAGGCGAAGCACCGGACCAGGGTCCGATGGTCGGACAGTCGTCCGCGGCACCGGGGCGGCCCGATGCGTTGCGTTCTGGTCGACGGGCCGCGTCGCCGGACCCGCGGCAGTTGTGCGCAATGCCAGTGCGCGTACCAGGGCCGCAGAGACGACGAGCGTTCGACCGCGACCGCGGTCGCCGCCGCCATGTCGCTTACCACATTACGGCGTTGCGGACGTTGCTGACGCTTTTTACGCGATATTATTCGACCCGCTGTACGCGTTGGTCGTTTACGAGGACCGATCGCAATAACCGGAGTCGCCGTTTCTCGCGAGGTGGTGCGAACCGCCTTTGTGGGACCGTCACACGTTCGTCCGCGGGCGCCGCGCCGATTATCGTTATGACAGAAAAAAAAAAAAAAAAAAAAAATTGCGCATCCACTTTTTTAATAAAGCAGTTTTTTTTCTCTTGAAACTGCACACTGTACATAAAATAATATCTATAATCTTATATAATATGTTTATTTTATTATGTTGTACAAACGCCAATCGGCTTTTGAAAATGGTACAAACCAATAATTACCGAATATTACCCATAAACAATAACTTATAATGATTATAAAAATAGTCCAGACCTTCTGGACCCCCCTCAGACACCGATATAATTTCAATAAAATGTCGTCCGAAAAGGGGTCGTCTATTAATAGAGATACTTTTCAAATACATATGATTTTCTACGACCTCTCTCGGAAAAATGTTGAAAATCTGCTACTGATCATTGTTGTCGTGGAATCGCACATTATTGTAATCAGTTTAACCATAATATGACATATATATATATATATATTTGACAATACAACAACACAACTATCAAGTGAACTCCGTTCAGAATCGTTTTTTCGTTAGCGATGGTTCATCGTTGCATTAAATTCCCTTTGGTGTTCTGTATCCTACCTTCCCAATTTTCAATCTACAAGCTACAACAATAGCTGCGCCCACGTACGAAATATTTTTGTCCTTTTTGTTATCAATTAATTATAATTGTAATTAAAAAAAGGATTTGAAATAACCATAAACAATATGTCGTTTTAGCGATTCTATAACCATTATCCAAAATCATATAACCATAACTGATAATGAATACAACCCGGTTAATCGCCAAAACACACCCAATACCGCGTGATTCTTTTATCGTGAAACACTCGTTATCTCGGAAACTATTAACTTTTTGCGGAATCTGTTTTTACAGAAAATTTAAGTAACAAGCAGCTTTACAATTTTACGTTTCAATTATTTTTGGGGATGAAACGACTACCTACTTTTGATTTACGATTAACAACTTTCATTTAAAATCCCATAAATGGACAGAGTATTAGTCAAAATACATAATGGTGTTGAAATTTTTAATTTCCGTCCATCCGTTGCCGAGATATTCTACTTTTAAGTTTAGGTCGGGGGAGAGTAGTGGAGTATCATTTGCGTGGCATCTTAATAATGTACTCTACCTCCACCCAAACCTAAAAGTGGACCATCTCGGCAACGGACAGACGGAACTTAAAAATGCCAATACTAAAAACGATTTTAACTAATACTCCATTTTTTTAAGGCATTTTAAAAATAGGTTGCTATTTGAAAATCAAGAGTAGGTAGTCGTTTCACCCACAAAAATAAGGGTGATAAAAAAAAAAACTATAATGTAAAATTTGAGAACTATTTGTTTTTTAAGTTTTCAGAAAAAAAAAACAAACAATTTCAGAAATAATGAGTGCATAACGACAAAAGAATCACTCGGTAGGTATAACAATAAATTTAAAAAATCAACTACGCGAAAATGTATTACCGAGTGGCGCATCTTTGCTTTTTAAATACGCCAAATAAGCTCGACCGCGTTTTAAAACAAGTGCTGGCAGTAAAAAAAAAAAAAAACAAATACCTATGCGAAAGCGATTCGCCTTGTTCGTGTATTACACTGGTACGGATATTTGAAAACGACGTTGACGTTAATTTGTGCGGTAAAATCGGGTGGGAAACATGCCTATTCTCCTTGGAAACGTAACGCGTGCAATCGTCTCTGAGGCGGTGTTATCAGTAAATCGCTGCTGATTACGAGCAATCGTAAATCGTTGAAATCAATTGTAATTTTTTTCGCCGTGTTAAATTTTTGTTACAATGAAATAATTGTATGTAAATGCGATGTTTATTTCGACGAGAAATTCGACGGTCGTTATCCGTATTGTGCTTCCACGGTGACACAAAGCGAAAATAACGTTGGATTCAATACGATTAATCAATTGTCAATCGAACGGTACCTACTGGAACCCGGTTATATCGAGGTAAGTAGGCATTTTTCGGTCAAACATTTTCAATAAGTCATTCACCGTTTGATCTTAATAATTTTAATTCTGTTCGTTCAATATAACTCAATTGATAATATTGTTTCACCGTGTTCTACCGCATTCGATTTTTTTATTTTTTTTTTTTACGGTTTTGATTTTTGTCAAACGTTACTCAGTTAATAATTGTCAAGTACGAGCGCTAACGCCAGTTTAGAACGTGATAGTAATTTGTGTTTGAACGTAATTTGTCACGCCAGTTAGTAGGTATATCGACTCATAGATTATGGGCGACGTATTTAACCGCTATTGCCAAGGTACCCCCATTTGCCGAATATTTGTGTTTTTTTGTGTACTGCACTATTACTATGTGTACTGGTCATAGAATAATATATGTATATTTTAGAACACGAATAAAATCATTGCACTAATAGGTACCCGTGTGAATGTTTTCTTATTACACGATAAGTCTGATATTCTCTGTACAATGTACAAGCGTATGGGTGTATCAATACCTAAGTATTAAATGTTGAATTACCCGTCTACCTACCTCAAATATAAAAGATACACGATGAGTTATATGTTTTGGGTAGAAGAACGAGCGACCGTTACCTTTTGCACTCGATCAAACCAGTACTCTTAATATATATTCATCTACCTTATAGGGGGATTAATGTTAAAATTATTATACTGGGTATACAATTTTAATTATGTGCGTTCTATATTTAATAATAAATTACTGAGAGAGTTTTGGTATTATGTGATTAAGGGCCATTTTTAAAATGTAGTTTTAGTGTTTATCGTCTGTTTACTGATAGCATTTTGACTGTTCGAGACAAAAATAATTGATGGGTAATGCTAGCAAACACTACAGAAAATTGTAAGACCAGTTAAACGTTAAATGAATTTAATAGTTAGGTATTTAAAGTGAATATTTTTCTGGGTGGGGGGGGGGGTTAAATTCTGCACGCCTAAATATAGTGAACATATAAATTATAATTAAGATATCACAATATTAATTAGGTACTATCTAAATCAATATTAATTGTATTTGTTCAAAAATAATCATGTTTACTATAATTTCATGATTGGTTGGTTAATCGAATAATCAAATAATCATAATTTGGAGAATTATATAATTTATAATTTACTAAATACTGATTTGTAAAATTTTGAATACGTGCACATGTATTAGGTACCTACCTACCTAATACATGGTATTAAGAGAGGTACCTCTCATTAACAACATCGTTTTGTAAACTCAAATTTTGTTGTGTTTTCAACAATAAATATATTAGCTAATTTATCATTGTAATACAAAATCATACAATATATTTAGTTTATGAAAAATCTTTACTTTTTATTTAAAAACCAATGTTTAACAGGTTTAATTTTCAGTTTAGTTATTCAATAATACAATAATTCATCGTTCTTTTAGTATAAATATAGTCATTAAATCATTAAATTCTTAAAATTTAAAATAATAACCAGTAGGTTATTTCTTACCTACCTCCTTAAATTAAATAAGTTTTAAAAATTGTATTTTCTTATAGAAAGGTTTTATATTATACTTACTTATATTATTGATGAATAATTTTTTTTTTTTAATGTAATTCTTTTATTAAATTACCAAATTGTATGATATAAAATAATAAATAGGTATGAAAGATAATTAACAATAATGAATCTAAATTGTAGATAAGAACATGTTCCGAGAACAAAATTAAAAAAAAAAAATAAAGCCACTGTTGAAATTTATCATAAATTCAAATGTAAAATAATTATAAAACAATAGTATACTAAACATTTTCTGCGCCATGTTAAAACTATTAATTTTTTTCAAATTTTCCTAACCTAACCCTGAATTATAAACCACTGATTTTTTATAATATTATGTCACCATTTAAACAACTTATTAAGTACTTATAAGGTTTGTATTAAATAATAATTATATATATTTTAAATAAAACCAAAAAAAAAAAGACCAAAGTATCTAATACATTCCTTTCTTTGTTTAAAATCTGTAATTGAAGTGAACACCTTATCTGCTGTGTTATACTAAATTGTTGGTGTTTACCGATTTACACGTCATCGTTCATTATAATAAGGTAAATTCGTCACATATGGCCAACTTTTTTCTTTTAATATTGTATTTATTTTATCTAAGGTTAGTGAATAAAATTCAAAACTAAACATATACATTATAAATGTCATCTTAAAATTCTTGAGAACATTATGGAATGAAAAATTAGTTTTAATATTTTTAAATTGCATTTTCTCATTCTTTGGCCATTCTACGCTATCTATGTTTTTGTAATAATTGATATCATCCAATTAATTAATGTAAATTAATATAACAATAACCATAATGCTTATCAAATTACACAATTATATTACCTATTTTATTTTTTTAAACAAATGAGTGGCCATACCTGGTGGTATTATAGCCTTCAACTTTTCCAGATTTGAAACCATATTACATCTACGGATGCAGTTGTAAATGGGTTTTTATTCTTATGAGTATTTATAATTCAGCCTGTCTGTCCATTTTTTTATATATATTTTAGAATTATATTTAACACAAATATTTTAAATAGGTATTAAAAATATTTGAACCGACCATTTGGTATGTCATAGAATGATCTAAGCTTATTTCATTTGATTGTTTTCTGTTGTGCACTATTAATCATTAGGTCCTTCACTAACAATTTCCTATAAATACAAGATTTATATGTTATAGGACTCTGCTGTTATAAAATTAGTGATGTAATTATTATTAATTATTATCTATACTTACCTACTAACAATCTAATTGTATAATACTGTGTGAAGACAATATTATATTGTATTTAATTATTGTAGGATAAATAGTACCCTCGATAGTACCTAATGCCAATAAATATTATATTTTATTTTATGTACTCAGGGTAATTAAATTGTGTATTACTTAATAAAGTTATAGTATATAATATTTAGGTACAAATTATATTACAAACATTGTAAGCAAAATTAAAAATTTGAATAACCTATGTACATTGTACATAGGAATTTTGTAACACTAAATTTAAGAATTGTGGTGGAATTTTAAGTTATAAATATTGATAATATTATTGTTTAGTTTTTGTGATTATACTTAGTAGTATTTAGTTAGGTTGGTTGTATTATTTTATATCCATAATAATAAATTTATTTTGTGTCTCAAGAATAAAATTAGTAATAACATGTTGAAGATTGTATACAATATATGCTTTATAGCCATGAATATTATAATATATCTACCTAAAATAAATTAAACTTACAAACATAGTTTAAAGCACTGGAATTCATGAAAACCGCATTTTTGGAATTTTATCGTTTCACTACAGGAAGCTACTGTATTGATTAATCGATTGTTAAAATTTAATTGGTTATAACTTATAATATCATAAGTTATTGTAAATGTATTGCAGATTTGTACCGGTTCAGTAATTACACTTTGGCTTAGGACTGGTCCAAAATAGTTATCGACTATATCTATAAATATTTAAAGGTTAGTCAAATTTTAAACAATGTTAGTTGATATCAGCTATGCGTCAGAAATTCATCTTGAGCCTCTGACAGATTGATTATCGTTGTTGACGAAGTGTCCACTGTTGATCATATATTGATCATTCTAATACTTGCACTCAATTTCAATACAAATTGTATTACAGATTATTCAGCAATTCAAACAATCGTCAAGAATAAGTTAAAAGCTACGTTGCCTGTACTTCATTAACAGAACAGTCATTTTAGTTTGAGGTAGGACTATATTAAATTAAATTTAACTTTAGCCTTGTGTAATAATATTATTAACTAATTAAATTAATAATAATAAATTTATACATGTGTTTATACAATGTAATTTTTATTATTTTAAATATTGTATATTAAGTAACATGTAGACATGATCATGTCAACAAAATATGGAAACCGTGATAATAATTGATAGTTTCCATTTTCTATTGACACATCAATTTGTATTATTTTAATTTCAATTAAGTTTCCAATTTTTCTCAAATATTTAATTATTACTTATTATTGGGTAAGTATAAATAAGCAAAATTACACTTTGAAGAAGGTCGTAACAGGCGCCAAGGCGTTATGAGGTTATTAAGTTAAAAAGTTCTTAAACTAATAAATATATTGTCTGTTTGTTTGTTTCATTGTAAAGATGGAAGCAGAATTTGTGGTCAAGGATACCTGTGGTTATGATTCAGATGAGGTAAACTCATCTACTAGAAGAAGTGTTGAAATGGAGTTGGTAGCTTATGATTCATCTCCTCGTTCAAATGGATCTAACCATAGTACCCACAATGAACAAAGTGTTGACACAACAAATAATAGAACTAATTGGTATAAATCTGTAGATTCATTTCTGGATACTGAAAAAGGTAAGGAAAAAAGCAGAAGTCATGACCATAGTTTAAAAAGTAGTAAACATGATAAAAGTTCAAGTAGACATGGCAGTAGGCGACGTAGCAAGCATAAAAAACACCATAGATCTAGATCTAGAAGTAGAAGTAGATCTAGATCAAGATCTAGGTCCCCTAAACGAAGGAGTAGATATTCTCCTGATGATCGTGACTCACAAACAAGCCAATATAGTAGTGACGATGAACGACGTAAACGACGTTCTAGAACTCCTGATAGCTCGGAAGGACCAAGAGTTAGAAACATTTACTCTGAATCAGCTACTTGTAGTACTCGGCGGCATTATAATACTGTTGATACAAGAAGACATCAAGATAGTTCTCAAGAATATTATCGAGAAGAAGACTTTGATAGATATACATTTAAGAAACAAATACCGAATAAAACTATTATAGTCCGTGGTTTAGCTCCACATATTTCAGAAAATGACATAAGAAAAGAAATATTAAAATGTGGTCTTACACCTGTTGATATACGTCTTATTCGGAAAAAAGATACTGGATCTTCTCGAGGATTTGCATTTGTCGAGTTTTTTACTAAAGCAGAAGCTGAAACATTAATGGAAACCAAACAGGGTGAAATGATGCTTAGAGATAACTTCAGAGCAATTATGCAATATACTATTTCTACAATTGATCCTGAAAAAATGTTGTCTGATTGGTGGTGTAAATGCAATGCTCATAATTTCAAACGCAGAGAAAGCTGCTTTGTATGTGGTGCCTCAAGAGAATCGGGAGAAATATTTGATCATACAAAAGAAGTGAGTTCTTATCCTACACATACAGTTTTACTTCGAGGATTAGAACTATATACTACTGAAGAAAATGTTTTAAAAGCTATTCAACCGCTATCAACACTACCTATTCGGAGTGTTCGTATTGGACGAAATCCTTTAACAAATGTCTCTAAGGGTCTTTGTTACTTGGAAATGAACAATGTGGTCGATGCTATGTACCTGCATAATGCATTAGTTGTGGAAGATCCATTGCTTATTGATAATCAAGAAGTTCTTGTATCTTATTGTAAACTTGGACCAGTTGGACCAATGGCTACTGCTTCTATGGGCAATGCTGCAGTTGAAGCAGCTAAATGGAGCAATCAGAAACCAGAAACTCCAAATTATACTATTGCTGATGTTCCCAGACTTGCAGAATTTAGTGCAAATTTATATGCTAAAACTCCCACTGAGCGAACTTCTTACATACAATATTATACTAATTTTTATACAGAGAAAATACAAAAGGGTGAGACTATTAATGTGCCTTCATTACAGTCTATACAATCCATTTCAGCAGTCTATGCACCTGTTGGTACAGTAGTAGCGTCACAAACTACACCAGCCTTCCCACTCCCTATAGCTAATAAAACTGAATCTTTAAGTCAACCTCCGTCTGGGAAAGGAGATACCACCTACTCACCACCCGATTTATCTACTTACCAATATGATAAAGGATCTGGTTATTACTATGATCCATACACTAAGCTTTATTATGACGCAAACTCACAGTATTATTTTAATAGTTTTACAAACAGCTTTCTTTATTGGGATGCCACAAAAAATACTTATTTATCAGCACCTTCCAATGACAAATCAAATACTGAAACAAATAATTCTAACAATGAATCTAAAAAAGAGGAAACTCCAGTAGAAGAAAAAAAAGATGATGACAAAGTGAAAGTAGCAAAACGTATTGCCAAAGATATGGAAAAGTGGGCAAAAACATTGAATCAGAAAAAAATAACTGCTAAACAAAATTTTGTAGCATCTCAAGTTGCAATACAATCTGCAAAAACTCAAGCTGCAGCCGATATTGGATATTCTGTGATGGGTACTAAGGCAGAACCTAAGAAACAGCAACCTCTAGTTGCTTCTACATCTGATGATAATAGTTACACAGATGAAGTTATGGAAGAAGCTAATCGAAATGAAGATGAACAGCACACTGATTGGGTCAAACTTGCTTGTCTATTGTGCAAAAGACAATTTAGTAGTAAAGAAGTTTTAATAAAACATCAACAGATGTCTGATTTACACAAACAAAATATAAGAAATTGGTATAACGAAAGAGGACTGGATCCTGATGATGAATCTAAACGAGTCATTCAATACAGGGACAGAGCAAAAGAAAGAAGAATGAAATATAATGAACCTGATAAACCTTTAAACAACTTAAAAGACAAGTTTATGAAGGCAAAAGAAGCAACTGTAGATTACGAGCAACCAACTAAATTGGGTATTGGATCTGATAACAAAGGTAATAAATTGTTACAAAAAATGGGATGGCAAGAAGGTATGGGATTAGGTAAAACTAATCAGGGGCGAACAACCATAATAGAAGCTGAAGGTAGATTAGCAAATGCTGGGCTCGGTACTAGGGCTGTTGGGGTAGTTCCTGGCCCCCGTGAGACATACAAAGATTGTGTGAAGAAAATGATGCGTTATAGGTATAATGAATCTGAATAGTATTTAATAGGTCAAAACTTTAGATTGGTAAGTAACAGTTTTTATACATGCAAAACAATTCAATTTCATAGCATCTCTAATGTATTTTATTTCTTCAGATTTAAAAGCATATAATTTAACATTTGGTTCCCCCCCCACCCCCACTCCAGATTGAAAATAATTGTACTATTGCATTGAAAGACATTATTATTATTTTAACGTTAACAATTGTATGTACTATGTAATATGTATTTAATGTTTCGAATACAGTTGTAATTTGAAAATTATCGTATCATTTACATGTTAATGTGTTCTTATTGTATCAATATAAGTAGTGTTATCAAAGTTTAAATCAACGAATAACTTTAAGATAAGTACAGTTTAAGTGTAAATATATTATTTAAATATCATCAACTGTGTTATTTAGATCATAATATAAAAGTCATGATAATAAATTAAATTGTGTCCTTCGAAATCTTTTGTTTAAACATTTTTAACATTTATAAATTTATCCGTACATTAGTTTAACTATTCTTTATTTTATTTTGTGTATAACCGATTATAAATACATCTGTTAGGTGCCTAATATGTATGTTAAATAAAATATTAAATTAATTGAAATGAGAAAAAATTATATTTAGTGGAAATTTAAAAAAAAAAAAAAAAAAAAAAAGTGCTATACACAATTATTGATAACTCGTTGAAGACATTAAAATGATAATATTATGCCATATATAGTATATTATATAATTTTAGGACTTATATTTTCGAATTAATTTAAAAACTTGTAGGATATATACATATGTTATATTATTACACTGTTCTTTTACATAATCTTTTGTAATTTATAATTTGATATAATAGAATGAAAATATTTTATATAGTAACTATGATTTATTGTACTAAGTTTTATATCTTATTTTGAACAAATGTCACTCTTTAATAGAAATTATTATATATTTTTTTATGCCTGAGTAGACAACTATTACACTTAAAAATTTGCTATAAATTTATAAATATTTTTTTAATTTCTATATTTAAAATGCGTATATTTTATATAATTGTAGTCCAAGTGACTAGACATTTTGTTTAGAGTTTTTGATTTCATATTAACTCTTAATGATTTAATTTTATCATTCATTTTTTACCAAATATTTAAAAAATAAATGCTTTGAAGTTACTATTATTTTCAAATTGTTGTTATTATTTTATTATTTTTTTTTTTTTCGTTTTTCTATCTTTTATTCACATTATAATTAAATTGAATATTAAAAACTAGGCACATATTCTCGCGAAACAAAATATTCATACAATATTTAAAAAAAAAAAAAAAAAACAAACATACTTCGCATGATGAGTGACTCACTGTTGAATGTGAAAAGTTAGGAAGGCAGCAGAGAAATTTAATATATACTGTGGAACCTCTGTTTACGATTAACCGTGCTCACTCTTCCGAAAATGTACAATAAGCATGGGCTGTTGTACATATTAATAAATAGTTATAATCGAACATTTTATATCTCGTACGATATCGACGAACGTATTAATGATATTTTTGACGATAACAATATGATCGTATATATTTTGTCGCAGATGTGTACTGTTATTGAAGATAAACAATATTGTGTATTGTTTAATAAATTATATATTTACATAATATTATTCATTATTGTAAAAAGTTTCGATTAACCGTGGTTTTCATTTATCTGTGTGACCCCCTATCCACCGTTCCCCCGGATAATCGAGGTTCCACTGTATCTGTACGCAGCGATTAATCATTGCTAACGAAAAACTATTCTGAGCGGAGTTCAGTTGTACATGTTTTTCGAAAGGCCGTAATATTTATGATTTGATAATAATACATTTCGAACATTTGCCCGTTTATTACGAAAACTCCAAGGAAAATCAAAATTTACCTCACTAAGGTACCATCCCGGTCAGATTTCCTTTCAGTAAAAGTGTTACACTTAATAATCCGATTAAAATTTCTGGTAGAAAATTTATTCACAGAAAAAAAAATAAACATTATTGTAAAACTGATACATTCCTCGCTCCGCTCAGGATCTAAAACTGGTATTGATGGTGGGTGCATTGTTGTAGGTATGAAGGTAGGATACATACATTTATTCAATTTATATCTGTATGCGACAATAAGCCGTTTGCTGACGAAATACAATTTTGTGTGTAGTTCGGCTAAACGTGTTTTGAAATTCCTTGGTTTTTAAGATTCCGTAAAAATTTGAATTCAAAAAATAATTACTTCATTATGCTCACATTTTTTATTTAAATTTATACATTGATCATTTCTGATGATTAACCAAAACAATTTTTTTCACATAAAACAAAATAAAACTAGAAAATGTCAAATGCCGATAAATAGCCAAATACTACAAGTCTCTAAAATTATGTTCAACCGAATTGCAACAAAACACAAAAATCAAAGATTAATAAAGCGGTTACTACTGTAAACTTTCCCTTTTTCCTTATGTTTTTCGTGGTTTTCCCAGTTAATAATAAAATTCTTTTGAAAATCGAAAAAATGGCCTCTCCAATGCACCAACCAAATCTAAAATTGAACCCTTAAGTTTTCTTGTCATTTTTTGATTGGAGAAAGATTCCTGGCATTATTAGAGTCGTAAACAGACAGAAATAAAACACAGACGGCTGCGCTCGGAATTTAAAAAGAGCTGATACTGCTGATTATTGGAAAGTCAAGAAGGTAGGATATAGAGGGTTAATTCAGTTTTTTTTGGGTATACTTCAACATTATACCTACTGTAGCAAATTGTTTTTATGGTAAAAAAAAACACATTTACAAATTAATTCAAGTGTGTATCTAGAGCTGGCTCACGGGTACTGAAGTATTAGTGTAATTTACACTCAATTACCTACCTAATATATTCATAAAACATTTTAATATTGATTTTTTAAATCGGAGCTATCGTATAATACTTTCTTATAGCACCTAGTTATTGAACGTACGTAGGTTCAACATTCGAATGTACGTACCTAAATAACGATTTGTTTGTACACGTTATCGTAAATAATACAAAAAAACAGTTAGTTAAAAAGGTAAGTTACACATTTCTTACCAATACGCAAGGTTTGTAGAATATAATATTCTGTATTCAACGGTGTAGTCGTAAATTCATTTTTGGGTGTACGTTAAATTATCTACTATTTCTGTATGTGATGCGGGGCTGTGTGTCTCCCACAATTCCCTCTTATGTTAAAAAATTACATGTTGATATTTATAAAATTGTACTATTTATATGTGTGTGCTAAACTACAAAACAATCTAAACAATTTATACTAATTAACATAAATAGATTTGAAAAAACTCACATTCGAAACTGCTCGTTTATTTGTCATCCGTTGAAGATTGAAACATTTGCCGTTTTTATTTTTTTATTAAAAAAAAAAAAAAAAAATGAATAGTTTCCGCTTGTCGCTTATTCGACATAGTAAAATCGTTTGAAAATAATAAAAAAAATATTTATAACACTTTTAACTAGGTAACCACACCGAACCTAATCGGTCGTCACTTAAACGGTAGATTATCAACGATCGGTAGGACGATTAATGACGCGCAAGCCCGGATTAAGATGATTTTGGGCCTGGGGCCAAACAATTTGAAGGGTCCCATAAACATATTCGAAATATTAAATGCTTATACAGTACTGCCGGCCAAGGCCAGGGGCCCACAATATTACGATATCCGGGGGCCTGGGGTCATGCCCCCCTCTTAATCCGCCCCAAATAATATGACCGGATAGTGGAATTTGGACAATTATTGTTCGCAAACTTGACTTAGTCATTCGAGCTAAATCTGCGTGATGGTTTTTGCGCATATTTTCTAAATTATACTATTTTTTTTTTTTTTTTTTTTTTTAACATAATAATAAGCCGTCCGTTCCACAATGTTACCAGTGCGTACCTACTGGAAGTCGTTCAATTCTATTTTACCGCTTTACGCGGTATTTTAAATTTGGAAAATTAGTGTATGCCTGTACTGTGCGGACCACACCATTGATATTATGTTCTAAAAACGTAAACCTATGGGCATTATATTAATAGCAGTCACTAGTGATCACAGTTTTTAACAGTGTTGGATCTGGGGGGGGGGTGGGCGATCTCCTCCTCCTCACCACCGTTCAATCGAGAAAAAAATTATCGTGTCGTATTATACTATTACCTCGATTCATCATTGAGTTCGTCATAAACGCGCGACTATGCATTTTCAAAATCTCCCACCCCCGGCCCCCGGTTTTCACGAATATGTACACGGAGTTTAAATTGGAAAAATTACACTCGCATATTTGTTGCACCATAACATTATGTTCGGCGCATCCGAGTTAGGTATAACGACCAGAAATCAACGCTAGTCGTACGGACTATGTTTTTCAAAATTAAATCAATCGAAATTCCCACCAGAAGTTTGGCCGGAATTCCATCATAATTAGAATAAAAAAAAAAAAAAAAAAAACTAAGGGACTATGTTCCGTAGAAAAATTTTTAAAAGAATAAAATGACTGGCAAAATATGAAATCAAAACAAACGCGGTAAAATCCGACGACTTTTTTTGCGATTTATTAAATTTTAATTTTTCCTCTTTAATTGTGTATTGTGCTTGTTGTAAACGTTCGAATCCGACCGGTAGAATAGTGTGAAATTCATTGAGACCCAACTAGTTTACTACCCACTTGTCAAGACCACTAGAGTCCGGGACCCAACTCGGATGCAGCCGTTAATCAATTGACGTCTGCAGTGGCGCGCACTAATTAAAGTATCTGACCCGTCAGCTTTAACCCGACAATTTTAGGCGGTTAATGTTATCCTGAAAATAACCTAAATCATTTGTAGGTAGCTGCGACAATGATAACTCGGCGTGTGGTAGTCGGGCCGTTCGATTTCGAGAATATTTTTTATTTTTATTTTTTTCGTCGGGCTTTAAAACCGAAAAGAACAAAATTGCACGATTATCGAAAAGTAAGCCTGGTTTCAATTTAATAACCGGGTCGAATTGTAGCCGATTGATCCGTTTTTCACCGGGTTAAATCGGAAACGCGTTCTGTTTCGCCGGTAAAACGCGGTTCGGCCCGAGTGCCGGCCACGAGGCCACGGGCCGGTGGTATCGGACGTTATTATTCTCGTCGAAAATCGATAAAACTAGACGAGACCTGCCGGCGTGTGTCGGCCGCCCGCCCGGCCCCCGGCGTAACGCGATTCGGGCTTACAGTTTCGCGCGTAGGTGTTTTCCGGGACGCGTTCCGCCGGGATCGTGTTCGGCAAGCGAGAGACCGCGCGAAAAAGCGTTCGCGAATATTTCCCCGTCACGACGTCACGACGGCCTGTCGTCCGTGTATTGATACGGCGGCGGCGGCGTAGCGCGGTAATAATATTGAATCCGTACGGGCGGGGCGGGCTGCGTAAGAAAGAGCGAGATGGTGTTGTGGCGGGTGGGGGNNGGGGGGGGGGGGGGGGGGTTGAGAAGGGTTTTTAAAAACGACCGCGCGCGTCCGGGCAATCAATCAAAAAAAAAAAAAAAAACGCGGCCGGGACGGACGCATAATACCCGTTTTGTCCGCCGTTTTGGACGCCTTCGTTCGCGGTCCATCCATCATATTATTATTGTTGTTGCTGCCGTCGCTGCTGCTGCCGTCGTTGCTCTGTTGTACGGCGGGCGCGGAAACCCGTCGATTTCGCGAGCCCGATACAATTTTATTATGTTTGTTTTGGCCCCCTCCCCCACCCCCCCCCGGAGAAAAACTTTACGCGGCGGTCGCCGCGTCCCGGTCGTTTACGCGTCCGTTACCGCCGCCCCCCCCTTCCCCCCGTTCACGGCCCGCGGGAGGAGACCGTTTCGCGCGCGCCGCCGGGCAGTGTGTCGGCGCTCGGCCGTTTTCGCGCGTCGGCTCGACCCGTCTTATCCGGCGGACGGAAGGGCGGTGGGGAAAAAAAAAAAAAAAAAAAACACAAACCCTTTGTCCGAAAGAAAAGTTCCGACGGGTCGGGCGCGGGTTTATTTTTATTATTTTTTTTTTTTTACTCTCGGTCCTCGACGTTTTATTACTTATCGCCGCCGGCCCGTGTGCACTTTCGCGGCCGTGTGTGCACAGGCCCCGCCGCGACCTTTCGGACCCCGCGCCCGCCAAAGACGATAACGCGTTTCGTATACAACGCGGCGGGTACATTATCAACGGAGCCCGCACGGCGTGACGGAGTTCTGTCGTTTTAGGACGGCGCGCATCGCGGTTTACTGCACCGCCGGTACGAATATTTCGGTTCGGCTTTTTTCCCCGCATTTCCATAAAAACACAAAAGAGTGCAAAGAGTGTGCTCGGGCAGAGATAGCCAACAGACGCGGTGTCCGCGTTGACCGGCGATGCTCTGTTTCTACGCGACGTCCCCGTCGCGCCGCGTCTCTCCGGCGGTTTTTTTTTTTTTATTTTATTTCTTTTTTGTCGTTTCGTCGCGCAGAGTAGCCGAGAGTCCGTTGACGTTTCTCGCACTCCGTCTCTCCGTCACGTCGGCGCACGAACGCGTAAACGCCCGCCCGTTATCGTATCTCGTTGAACGGCGAACCGGAATCGATCGGGGGGGAGGGGGGCGGGTGCGTGGCGGCTTCACGGCGTTGTTTGTGATTCCGGGCGTTTCAAAGGTGCACTTGGACGTTAGTAATCGGAATCGGGACTCGGATGTCGTTTGACCGCCGTGCACATCGGTACCGCGCACGAATCTCGGGAGGCGTTTAGGAGCACTTGAAAGCGTATTCTCCGGCGGGATTTCCCACGGGAGTCCCGGTCGGCGTCAGGGCGCGCGTACCGCGGACGTTCCCGATTGTCGCGAAACGGCGTGACGGCGTGACCTACGAAAAACGCGATTTCCCCGATTGGCCGCCCCGGTAGATCGAACGCGCGCCGTCTAACCTACGGTGGTCACTCGCGTACAATATTTACATGCGTCGTAGGTACTGGGACGTCTCGCCCGGCGTTGCCCGTGACAAATTTTTATGATTTTTTTTTTTTTTACCAATATTCCCGTTCGGTTTTTAAACCGGGTCGGTATTCGATGAAAACGAACGGACGGAAAGCGGGCGGGTCGGCGGGATAAAAAAAAGCATTCTGTCGCGGCATTTTTTCGTAAAAAAAATATATATATATATATCTTAATGAGCGCGCGGGGGCGCGTAGCGAAATAACAATTTTCAAGTGCGTAGTAGAGTCAATTCCGGACGGATTTCCGAGCGTTCGAAATAATCGAATTACACGTACAACAATGCCGATTTTAAAAACATTTAAATGTCGATTGTGATTCGGACCTGGCCGCCACGGCCGTTTATCCGTCGGTGTCGTCGATTAATCCCGGCCAGGCCGCCGTGGTTGACGCTGACCAACATCTCGTCCGTGTCGGTGGATTCGGCGGACGCCGGGGGTCGAACGTTTGCGTACGCGTTTGGTCAGAAATTTATCGCGGAAATTGTGCAATACTATCTGTTGCTGTTTGTTTGTTTTAATTACGAATTAAAATGATAAAATCCGGTCCGTAGCATAAGGTATCATAATATCGTATTTATATCAAATTTTACTTTACTGTTTTATTTCAGTCCGCATCATTTTTTTCATGGGTGCTCTCCGATAGCGATTGTCTCGTTTTTAAATTTATCTTTGGGTTTTCTTAGTAATTCGGGGAAAACGCGCGCAACACGTACGGGGTTGCTATTCTTTTTAATTTTTTTTTCTTTCTTTTTCCGTATTTCGCTTAAAACCAACTGTAGTAAAATTCGCGGAATTCAGCAGGCCGTTTGACGGACCGACGGAGAGAAGCGTGCGAACACAGCACATTGCTGACTGCACCGAAATAATATAACCGTGGTACATTTAATGAGTATTTGTATTATACGCGCTTAAAACCGGCGTTGTGTCTTAACGAGACGCCATTTGGGCGCAGTAACGTTTTCTCGGTTTTTTCGGAAACGGCGCCGTTCCGCTCGACCCGCCGAGAGTAGTCCTAGTTTTTACATTGTACGTGCCGTATGATACGTGAACGACTCTTTTATCGCGTAAGCCGAGTATACGTATATAACGTGTTATACGGGAGTGGCTTGCGCCAGAATCCCACACACACGCGGCGTGGTCGACCGCGTGGCGGCGGCGGCGGCGCTGCGCTCGGTTTTTGATGTGCTGCTTGCATAATCTATCGAAAGAGAGACGAAAAAAAAGGGCACCGGATATCGCGCGCCGGAAAGAAGGGATGGAGTACAGCAGGAGGCGGAGGACCGTTTACGATGAAACTTGCATGAGCCTTTGGCGCGAGCGGGTGTATTACACTATATATATACCCGGGGGCCGTATTAACTTGGTAATTAGCTTGCGGCTAGAGGGGGACCGAGGGGGGGGGGTGACTCGAAGGGGCGGCGGCGGCTACTCGATGAATAATAATTTCTGAATACATACATATTATTGGAGCGTCCTCGCGTTATAGGATATTATACGAGACGGAGGAGCGGAAAAACGGAATAATAATACGCCCGAAAAAAAAAAAAAAAAAAAAGAAAGAAAGAAATTTATAAATATATTTAGACCGTCGTCGTCCGCGGGTAAATAATATAATATCGTTCGCACTGCCGCTGCAGTCTGCGCCGAAGAACGCGGGAGCCAACACGCGCGCCAAAAACGCGGTCACTGCGAACCGGAAAATTCGCGCGGGAAAATCTGAACGGTTACACTGTGCGGTGCTCGTCGCGCGATAATAATAATCCGTTTAACCGTAAGGCGGCGGCCGAAATCAACGGTCTATTGAAAATTTGAAATATTATACCGCGGGCGTTTTTTTTTTTTTTTTTTTTTTTCCCGCTAACATCGTAATAAATTGTAATGACAACAATCAGCGGTTCATTGTGCGCCGGCGCGGTCGTTCGTTGATTGCATTATCGGGCCGCGCGCCCTCGCGGTAGGTGGGAGGGTGGTAGGCGGGGACGGAGGATCAGGTGCCGCCGCCGCCGACGTTAAATCACCGCCGAGGCGTTTTACGTATTTTTCGTTTTTTTTTTTTTTTTCCCGCTAACATCGTAATAATGTTATTATCAAACCGCCGCCGGCGTTTTGTTCTCCGTCCGGAACAAGGCCGACAAGGACAACGACGAAGACGGAATCTCGACGAAACCCCGTCGAGCTGCAGACGTCCGCGAACACGTGCAAGTACGAACATTTGTTTTATCGTTTCCCTCTCGCTCGTCCTCCACTACTTTATCCTCGCAGTATTTTGAGCTCATCCTACCACTCTGCACGCGCACAACAAAAACACTATGCACATTATCATATTAATAATAAGGAAATGAACGGGTTCGAATCGTGCGTAGACCCGGATTAAGAAATGGACTAGTGGCAGAGAGAGAGAGAGGTGCGAGAACGAACATTATTATAAAGAGATATCTGATAGAATACGACTGATGTGATAAACTATACCTACTCACTAACAGTAAGTGAGAAAGAGAGAGAGAGAGTGAGAGAGAAGTTAAACGCCAACGATAATAACATTTTTAGAGAGAGACGGTAATATCTGCAGTTTAAATCAAAAAATGACGGCACTAAGACGCTTATTGCGGGATACGGGAATTGTTTAACTATCTGTGGGTTACACTCACTTTGATCATATACCGTGGACGGAGCATTCAAGTTAAATGTGTTATACTGCGTATACTCAATTGTGCAGTCCAATGTAAACCCCTACTGATAAGTTATAACATAATTTCGAATGATATAATATGTTGGTAAACGTGCGTGCTGCGGCTGCCGCCGGGTTCCGATCGCTGATGTAGTTACCTATGTTAAAAATTAAATCGTGAGTGGGTTGGTTATTTCGGACACTGTTGCATAGGCCAATGAAGCAAATGAGCTGAGGCAGCACTTTGTAAATAATATTTAAGAACTCGAGCACCGCGGTAACGGGACAATGCGGGTTTTCGATCGAAACACGTATGTGTGTATACGTATTGTTTTCGAGAGACCCGATTTTGTATGTTTGTTTTTATTTGTAACCAAGAGGTTTTGAATAGCTAGCGTGAAATATCGTTTATTTTTTAGTAGGCACGATACGTAGCCTTATTCCGAGTCTTATCTAAAACCGGTCAATTCGTGGTCATTTGGTTACTCCAGTTTGCGTTTGAGCGATAACCTTGTTAAAGAGATATACGACAGTGGCGCCCAACGCAATTCGTCGTTCCACGCCCGGAGACCTTTCCCCCCCCCCCGATTGTGTGTGTTTTGCCCAGTTTTTTAGTTTTCGTGTTTTTTATGTGTGTTTTCTACACAGTTTTGATTTTAGATTCTCAGTGTAGCGAAGAATGTATTGGTTTTATTAAGATGTTTATTATTTTTTTATTTTTTTTTATATATATACTGTGTACAAAAATTCGACTATAAATCTTGTCCAGGTGGTACTTTCGGAGGTCATTTTTTGATTTTCCAAGTGGTTTTCATTATATCTAGGAAAAACCGGGATAAAACGTCAACATTTAAATGTTTATAAATAGTTCAAAAGTTTGGAAAATTGTATTACGAATATAAGGTTTCTGTCCAAATTTGTAATTATAAAAGAAATGTTTTCGTAAATTCTACCGTTATTTTTATGATTTTTCGGATTTGCCGAACTATTAAAAAAACTATAAAGAAAATCAAAATAACGACTTTATTGGACACCAACTAGACTAAAAATTCATCGGAAAATGTCTAATGCCGTTTTTCTATTGAAGCGATATTAATGACAGAAAACCTTAGCCGAAAAACGGATGATTGTCGTTCATTAATAATCTCTATGGCAACAACACCATTGTTGATGGGCCGTTGTTTTTTATGAACAGTATCTGTGTTACTTTTTTTATTTCAATAGTTGCAATTATTATTTTGCCCTACTCGGCTCTGACACGTCCGGACTTCGTTTTGCGTATTTTAGATATTTACAATCAAGTTTGAGTAATTTTTTCATTCGAATGGACACATTGTTAATATAAGTCAATATAATATGTGTGTATCTTCGACCAATCCACAAAACTTCACCTGTGACATACAAGGCTCCAAGGTATTATTTTATATCTTTTAATGATTTAGGTATTTAATATTTGATCAGATTGTCTGTTTTTTTGTTACGCTTTAGAAATTGTATTATAAAAAAAAGTATTTACGAAAATGTTTTAATAATTAGTAATTTACAATTAGCGATTGGTTATCTGAATAATTTTTTGTAGGCTCATATCATAAAAAATGAAGTATCGTTTTTTTTTTCTAAACGAGGCTCTGCTAAAATTTTCTATAACTAGAAGACTATGCGACTTTTTTAAGTGAAAACTTTCACCATCTACTTTTTTTCTACGGGATTTTATATCAGTTGGAACCTCAAATTGTATTGGATTATTATTTAATAAAAAAAATGAAGTAAACGTGATCAATTGAATTAAGGCTTGGTGAATTTGGATTATAATTTATGTTATAAAATAAATAAACAAATAAAAAGTATTTATTCATTACCTATTATTGTACTCATTAGATTTATTCGACCTTTGACGTGGTTGAAGTCGATTTGAGTGATACTGCGTAGCGTAAATCTGCCGCAATCACGCGCATCTTCAAAAACACATTTTATATAAATTGTAACGTAAATTTTATAATATAATTTATATACAATTATTTATAATATAAATTATAATTATGAAAATGAACACACTTTTAAACTTATGTGCCATTCAATAATTCGAGTATCTATACATGGTGATAATTTTCCAAATTCACCTGTGCTGAATTACTCTTCAATAAAGGTAATTATCTAAACTTAGGAAGTTAAAAACGTATTCAAGAACCTCTACAGGACAGCAGAGACTTAACGGAACGGTCACTTTAAACATACATACAGCCATTGAAAATTATACCAGATATAGTGTTTGATAAAACGGCGAGGTACCCTGTTCGAATAATTAATCTTAGATTGTAAATTATTATTATCGCCATATTATGACTTACGAGTAAAGTATATTCAAAAACATAATTAATACGAGTCCGAATCGTTTTCCAATATGCGTTGTCTATAAACGAAAGGTAAACAATTTAATGATTTTACTCATGAACCTAACTTAACATCAACCCCTTCACCCCGACAAACAACGTCTAAAATTTATTTAATTTTTTTCAAAGTCATAGAACCCCCTTCGAAAATAAATCCTGGTTGCGCCACTGGCCTCACGGGTAGAAAAAAAAAACCCATTTATCGCCAATTATTACCAATTAAAAACCATAGATAATCTATATTACCGCAGTAAACCACTGCTATAACCACAAGTAACCGGTGCGATTACACATATATTCTCTTCGGTGACGTTATTATACCGTGTATAATACATATTTATAGGTGTGCGGATGTCCTTTCCATGGTGCATATATTATCTAAGATAACAACCCTCTGGACTACCGGGACCCGGAGGGCCCGGTAAAACTCTTAATCCGGTCCTGTTGGCCGCCCCTCGATATGTGTATACTTATCAGTTATGTAGTATTGTACGGGCGTGCGGCCGACCGTCGACAAGACCGAACGACCAAGTCGTGCATTACGAACGTCGCGTATGACATATTCCGCGTCGGGTAAAACGGTGATGGGGTGGGGTGGGGTTGGGTAATCCGCGGCCGTTTGTCCGCGACCGGAGCAATCAATTTCACGAAAAATCGTTACCGACGTCAGGACAGTTTGTCCGGTCGTTATGCGAGGAGGACTGACACGTACAGTACGACCATAATATAGTAAAAGAATAAAAAAAAAAAAAAAAAAAAAAATAATGGACGGAACCGTCGTCGTCGCATCGTCAGCAGCGTGTGTTGTGCGGAAGACACGTCGTCGTCGGAATCTATCGGCGTCCTATACGGGAAAAAATATCGTTTGGAAAGGAAAAAAAAATAATAATAATAATAAAAACGAAGGATATGTGTGTGTGTGTGTATGTGTGTACGCGCGCGCTCGGGCTCGTAATAATAATACCTTGGCGGAGGTCCAACAGGACGAAATAATAATAATACGAGTATAGGTACTTTATAACAATATTATTATTATTATTATTATTATTATTATTATTATATATACGTGATAGCAGCTGCTGATAACCGAAACGGCCGGCGAGTGGCGGTACTGCCGCAATAGTTGTACCTGTATACGAGTGCCGCGTACGCAGTCGAGAAGAACACGCTCGCGCATTACTTATATACGCGCGGCGGGTCCTACAATAATAGTAATAATAATAATAATAATAATAACAAATATAAAAAAAATAATATAACGCAATAAAAATACACGTACGCTACGAACGGCGCATTCGTAAGCGTCCGTGTACATGCCGTTTGCGTGAATGGGTTGGGTAGTTCGGAGACGCGCGATCCGTCGTCGTGGGTACGTGCGCCGTCGTCGTCGTCGTGTCGGCGCTGGAAAGGCAACCGGTCCGGTTCTGTAATTGCGGTCACGTACTACGCGGACGCGCGGCAGAAACGACGGCCGCGACTACCGGCCCCGCGCCGAATCGGACCCACGGCCGCGGAATACTAAAAGCTCCGTCCGGCTCCGGGGAGACGCGCGGGCGTGTGTTTTTTTTTTTTTTTATTATTGCGGCCGCGGCTGTAGTCGTCCGCCGCGACGTCGTAGTGACAGGCACAGGGTACGACAGCAGCGAATACCATACGCGCGTGTTTTTTACGCGATACCGCGGTGATTATATTGCGTGTCGTTTTGCGGACGACCGGTTCGACGGGGTTTTCTCTCGTCGGGGGAACGAGTGGTAGGGGGGTGGGGTGGCGGGCGCGTCGTCGTGACGGTTTTCGAAATCCGGTAAAAACAAACTGTCCGAAGGAAGAGAGGGTTTATGTACGTTTTCCGTTGGTTTCAACGGCAATAAGCAGACCGAGAGTATCGGAAATACGCATACACTCGTCGGTGTCGGAGTTTCGACATTTTTCCGGGAGGAGTCCCGAAAAATCATAAATATATTATCCATTAAAATTTATTAAAAGACGACATTTTATTGAAATTGATCGGTGTCTGGAAGGGGTCCGGACCCCTGGATTCGTCCCTCGTAAATCCGCCACATTAATATGCAAAATATACACCCGTTAAAGGCCATTTAAATCGAAAAATAAAAGGAAAAACAATACCTGTACAAAAGACGTAAAACGAAAAAAAAAACGTGCCAAAAATCGAATTGTGATTTTTTTTTCCCGAAACCAAAAATATTAGAGCGAGAATTGGCCTATATGTGTGTCGTCAAATTCCGAATTTAGAACATAATATAATATCGGTGAGTATTTCCATTTATTTTTCTCGATTAGGTTAACTCTGCCAATTGTAAATGTGTTTTACGAATTTACAATATCTAATATTATATTGAATAACAGGTACACGTTTTGACTACTTAATTTTACCTCCTTTCATTTCCTAATTAATGCCCGAAAGCGATCGTTCTACCCATCAATGATACGATATTTCTTTCATAGTTCATTAAGTTTTTTGTCACGTTCTTCGGATAATTCAGATAATACTTTGAGCTCATTTTTCAACTTCTCAATTATAGCGTCCTTGTTGAAGATTGTTTTATTTTTCTCAACTTTTTCCGGAGGTTTACAATCACTTCTCCGCCGTTAGCCTTTGGTGTTTCAACAACTTTTACCTTATTAGGCTTCATTTTAATATTTTAGATTCTGAGTGGAGCGAAGAAGCTTATGGTTTTACAAAGATGTTTATTTTTTTTTTTATCTGTGCGCAACTTTTCTACCAGAGAATTTGCTCGGATCTCTACGTGTAGTACTCTTTTTTAAAAGAAAATCACTGTTGGGAGGTATTTTAAGGAAGTTATTTTTCGAATTTCTCAAAAATTTTCCCAGCAAACGTGAAAAACTGAGATAAAACATGGGAAAACCGGGAAAAACGTTGGGAACTGGGAAAATTATCTATAACAGTGACTGCGATCCTGTTTTCATTATCCTAGGACGTTTTTTTCAACTTTTCAGTTAAAGTATTCTTCTTAAAAAGTGCTCAATTTTTCTAAATCAATTTTTTCCTGAGTTTTATAACTACTTCTCTGGCAGCCATTGATTGAGGTTTCATTTAACGTTATTATTTAGTACAATAAATATCCAATTAAACCATGTATTTAAAATACTGGAAGTTTAAATATTTTAATAATAAAATATTTTTTATCTAAGTAACTAATCTTCGATACCCAATCTAGATGACCTTCTCTAGTTTTTATTTTTAATTTTTGTTTTTATCGAATTCATAAATCACAAATTGTTTATTAAATTAAACGATAATTAGAAAAGATTAAAAATGATTTACTTACGAATCAGTCCATTCCATCGGGAAACTAGAAATGAACTTATCGTAAATAATGCAATTTTAAATCGCCGCGAATTTGTCCCGTTTGTATTTATCCGGTGTTTCTCGACTGTTATTTATTATCTAAAAACTATTGGGAAAATTAAAAACACCGGTCTTCCCAACGGGTGCCTAATCGGCTATATAGATCCGAAACGCTATTGATAAAGCGGCGTCTCTTGTCGTTTTTCCGGTGGAAAAATCGTAGTCGCAAAAAAAAAAAATCGGATATAGCAAAAACCAATATAAACGTATATTCGCTATACGCGCTCTCAGACTGTAAATACACTACAGACTTGTTGAAAACCGTTTTTTTAATACCGCAGAGTCGTAACAATATTATAATAAAATAATACGTATATCGACGGGGTTTTCGAAGGTTTAAACGATATCGTCGAGTACACATAATAATAATAATAATAATAATAAGTGTATAACGTATACGACGGGTAAATACGGTAAACAGCGTAGTAGTGTATCGGCGAAACGCGCGCACGAGTTTGCGTGGGGAGCTGTGGCACGGTGTGGTTGTTTTAAATGAATTATTCAACGGGATAAAAGTGTGCGGCCGATTGCTACCATCGCCGACAATAAAGGCGTGGTTAACGGGGAAAAAGCAATACTTTTTCTTTAATCTCGCACAAACGGCATGGTGTGTTCAACGGTTCGACGGACGAAGGGGTTAAAATTTATTCACCGACGACAGTCGACACGGGCGAAACGGTTATAATGTCTGCGCGCTGTCGTCGTCGTATAGCCTTTGCTGCTGCTGCTGTTGAATTATATACCTGGGTTGTGTACACTGTAAACGGGAGGTATTTTTTTTTTTTTTTTTTTATACGAGTCACGGGGAGGCGGCCGACGGAAAGAAAAAACAAATACGGGGGGTGGAAAGGAAATACAGAAAAAAAGATACGGACATACTTCGCACAATGGATGGGCCACCGTTGTGTGGTGAAAAGTCGAGAAAGTATGGGGGTAAATTTAATGTGTATCTGCAACGATTAACACATTTCTAACGATTCTGAGCGGAATTAGGTCAATAGTGTTGCCTATTCAACGATATATTATGTGTCATAATATGATGCATTATATGTTGTTTTAATAATATTTATTTTTCCTACGTTTTTTCTACGTTTTTCCTTATTTATTTGAGGAAATTATAATATGACCTCATTTAAGTACTACCCCAGTCAAATTTCCTTTAGAAAAAAGTGCTACATTTTAAAATCGGTACAAAATTACTAGCAAAAAAGTTGTTGACATATAAAAAAAAAATAGGTATCGTAGTAAAACCAATCAATTTCTCGTTTCGCTCAGAATCTAAAATACGTATAAAAATCCGCGAAGTATCCCGTTTGACGACGGCGTGTGTAGATACGAGATGTTATTCGAATTCGCGCCGCTATAATAGAAGGCTGGGCGTTAGAGAGTTAACAAGTTAAAGTTAAATTGCTTTAAATTTTTAACTTAGTAAATACATTTTTTTTTTTTGAACTATTAACTTAATTTTTAACTCGAGAAATACAAAAAAATTAACTTTTGTTGTTTAAATTGTGTACAGGAAATAAAAATCGTAATAAAATATTACGATTTTTATTATTACTAAAATAGTAACATATTTCACACATTTTCCTGGTTTTAACTAGGTTTTTCAAATTTGATGATAAAATCGAAAAATGACCTCCCTAAAGTATCTCCTCGCATCGATTTTCTTTCAGAAAATGAGCTATACTTAGAAATCCGAGCAATTCTCCTGGTAGAAAAGTTGTTAACAGATAAAAAAAAAAAAAAAATAAGAATAAACATCTTTGTAAAACCATAAGCTTTTTTGCTCCACTCAGAACCTAAAATGAGTGAAGTTGATTTCAATTTTTATTTGTACGCTCATATAAATAAATATATTATTATTGTCGTTATCAATATAATTTATTATGAACAATTTAAAATACGAATTGTTATGAATGCCTGTTACTTTGTATTGTTGTCTCCGGTTGGGGTTTGTAGGTATAGATTATTAGATCATTATAGTAGGTAATAGACAATAATATGTAAAGGTCTTTTTTTTTTTTTTTTTAGTTAAGTTAACTCGAGTTAAAAATGTAATTTTAACTTTTGGTCAACTTCTAATACTTAGTTGCGAATCGATCGATTATCTCGAATCGACTTTTAACTGTTAACTGTATTCAAATTTAAATTTAACTTAACCGAGTTGAAAAAAAATCATTAATTCGCCCGGCCTTGTTACATGATATAATATTATTATTATTGTACGTCGTCGTCTTCGCCGAGCCGTCAAATGGCCCGGTCGGGTCCGTGACGCGGCGGCTCTCCCCCGCGCCCGCCGTCGCAGCTATAATATTATTGTAATATTCGATATTTTTTATGATACATTATCGCAGTGTTATTGTGTATAAGACGTACAATACGAATTTTAGTAGGTGTCCGTCGGATGTGTATATACATATACACATAGGGTGGCGTTAAATGCGCCGGAAATGTAGTCGGAATTTCTCAATTGAACCGGAAACGGAATATTATGCGACGGCGACCGAGACGATGACGATTTTAAGTACGCGTAAATATATTTTCATACTCGTCAACGTCGTATCGTTAACCGTCCGAAATGATCGGATCACGCGGTCCGTTTTGTTTTTTATTGTACGCAGAGGACAGAAAACCGGCCAACATTTTTATAATTAGGTAATTCGAAATGTGACAAAACGGCGTGTAAAAAAATTAAAATCGTCATAATACAGTTATCGCAGTTTTTTTTTCTCGCACACTTATAAAACGTCGATGTCGACGCGGATCATTTATTCCGTCTGCGAATTTACCCCCAAGCCGATTTGTCGTCGTTACAATAATATTTCTTACGCGTTTTATCTTTATCTTTTTCATTTTTTTATAATCAATTTAAAATAGTTATTTTCGCCGGAGTTTTATTATATTTTAGTTTCAAAGTATATGCAGGGTATTTAAAATCCGGTATTCTGTGCGATGAGCGAACACCATCCATGTACTAAACTACATCCTCTGGCTTTATTTCGGGGTCTGTAGGGGTGTACAGAGCTAGAAAAAAACGGCCTCGCCCCGCAACGACACGGTTAAACTCGTATTGAAATTCAACCGAAATCGCATCACTTCAATCCGCCTATGAAAAATACCCTAATTGTTGAATTTAAGCTCATTTGGTCCGAAAGGGGAACCGTTAAAATGATGAAATGTAACGGAAAAAAAGATTCGTATATGGGTATACATTGCAATAAGAGCGGTTTTTTTTTGTTTTTATCTCGATTTATTAACGATTATATTTACGAAGATTTTGACTAAAACCGATTGTGATTTTTTTCAATCATCCTAGAATCGTTCAACGGTCTTATTGACAATGGTTTCAAAACGTCATCCGGCTTCTCCCTCACACCATAAATATAATAACATATCAACTGAAGGTTATCAAAAAGCAACGCTGCCTTTTTTTCAACAGATATTCATAATATTCACCGAATCGTAATATGATCCGGCGAATTTAATATTATTAAAAAAGACAGACGTACTTCGCGCGTGGATGAGAATTTAATGTATATCTGTACGCAATAATGAACCATTGCTAACAAAAAAACGATACTGAGCGGAGTACGATTAATTTTAATAGTGTTGTTCTGTCTGCTGTCAACAAACAATATATAATAATATATCATAAAATAATCACATATGCATTAAATATTTTTAATAATAATATTTGTTTAATATATATTGTACCTATTTTCCCGATTTTTCACATTTGTCACGAAAACAGCTGGAAAAATCAAAAAATTACGTTCTTAAAGTACCACCATAGATTAGATTTCCTTTTGGAAAAAGCGCTACACTTGTAAATCGAAGTAAGATTTCTGGTAGAAAAGTTGTTTATAGATAAAAAAAAAAAAAAAAACATCATTGCAAATCAAATACATCCCTCGCTCTACTCAGAAGCTAAAATATCAATATATATATAATAACCCAAGCACTCATCTATGACTAGGTGTGAACTTTCATCCAAGTTCGATTTAAAATACCTCACATTATCAAATAAAACACCAAGGCAATCTCTTATCGATGGCAGTTTAGAGCCAGTTATTTTGTCATTCATAGACCCAATTAAAAAAGTTGACTGCCCAGACATTTTGTTTTAATAAGATTGTAGCTTATAAGTTTGAATGTAATTGAAATTATCGTTATTCAATCTAAGGAAATACGCCCGCCACCAAGGAAATAAACCAACTAAAATATGTTTTTAACTTTCATTTAAATCGTACATGTAGAATACGTTATTCTGTTGTCCGTTTTATGTAAGAATAATATTCGAATACCATTTTATTTACTAATATCAAAACATTATTTAATCTATACATCGTAAAATAACTTAATTGTTACACAACAGAAAGTTGTGCGTTGTGAGATAAACGAAATACAGAAGCCACTTGAATTCCGTCGATACGTTATTTGTAATGGCTACAAAATCATTATTGCCATTACTCCTATATACATATATATTTATGTATATTATACAATATACATTGTAAAACGTGTAAAGCCTAGCACAACCAGCTTTTAAATCGTTTTATAAATAAAACGGTAAATGTCATAGACATTTTAAAGAGACGCTTTATATTATAAGAAATCGTTTTGGCAACAATAAAGTTCCTAATCAATTTTTTTGTACATTGAAAATTTAAAAAAATAAATATAAAAACCAAAACACAACCACTTTGAAGCTTCGCGAAGGGGTTGACGTATCGTACTCAAAATAAACCTAAATTATTTTCACAATGTACTTCACAAGATTTCGAGCCCGCAAATTCGAATAATTAATACGTTTTTTTTTTTTTCAACTCCTATAGCTAAGGACCGCCATAATATATATATATATACATATATATTAAAAGGTAAATTGTATGCGCTTGTTTATTTTCGCCTGTATCGTATCNTATAGCTAAGGACCGCCATAATATATATATATATATATATATATATACATGTATATTAAAAGGTAAATTGTATGCGCTTGTTTATTTTCGCCTGTATCGTATCTATACAGTTCAATTTCGGTCTCAAATAACGCGTCCGATTAATGACGTTACCGATGAGAGTGGGTTTAACGTTTGTATAATATGTTATTGTTAAACGTAATATTACGTTTGAATATTAATAACGTATAGGTATGATGAAAAACGTGAGAAATTCGGATGGCGAAAATTCTATTGCAAGGAAAAACGGGGAAAAAAAACAGCAAAATTTGTGTACGGGTGTTTACATTTTTATCGTTGTTAATTATTAAATTTTAATTATATCGCTTAAAGGTTTAATTAAGTTTACATTTTTTACATAAACGTTCATAAATACATCAAAAAAATACTATTTACGTTCGTTTCACCCCGTTAATGAGTCTTTTTTTTTTTTTTTTGCGTTAAATTTGATGAACATCGTTTACAAATATGTAACATAAGCGTGTCACTATTGAAATAATGTTATTATTCGATATCAAATTAAAAGTTTTTATTTTTTTTTTAGAAAATCGGAACACGAAATGAAAATATTTGCATATTTTTGAGAACTTTAAATTAAAGTTGACATAATTTAAAAAGCGATCTCTTTTTTATTTATTTATTTCGATACCTATGTAGCTATATTATGTACTTCAAACGAAAATATTCAAATTTGTTGGCCCGGAAATCGACACAACGCGGGTAAAACTGCAAAATATGAAAAATAAATTATTTTTAGTTTGGAGACAGTAAATTATACGAAAGAATACTTTTGATTCAGAAACACGTTACTGCCTATAAATTGTTTTGGCTCGGGGGCGGGATTAAAATCGACAAAAATTCACCGTGTAGCATAGCGACTTGCAACTCCTCTCCACCTTCTCATCACTGACAATTACACTCGTTAAACGTTAGTTTATGGAAAATCGGCTTTCCAAGCGAACCGGAGGGTTGCGGAATTAAACTTTTCGAACTGCGCATCTGGTTACAGACTATAATAAAGTTTCTCATAGGCGGAGATTCGATTGAATTTTTTGGAGAACTATTTTTGCGACGAGCAAAAAAAAATCGTCGCTTGCGTATTATAATACCTGCATACTCGTTCGTTGTAACACATAAACATGTAATTAACATTTTTATAAAAAATCGTTTTAATTTCGGGTGGAGAGGAGGCTAAAATATTTATTTGTTTATTTTTTAACAATTAAGTGGTGCTATGGATGATTTTGTGGGCTATGTCACCCTAGCTCCAGCCAATCTTCGTCTATGGCTCACTTGCATTTTTCCATTTTTTTTTTTTCAAAAAACGGGAACCAATTCGGTTACGTCGCAATATTATTTATTTGATTTGTAATAATGCGGATATAGAGTGCAATGGAACCGTTAGAAATTCAATTGAAAACATGTATAATTTTGAGCCGAGATTTTCCCTAGATAGCTCGCCGGTTCAATCCGGTCCTTGTCACCGTCGACCAATCGGCAAAGCGTTGCAAGATATAGTATGTATAGATGACGAGTATAAAAATAATTATGATGTTGACAAAATATCGGCAAAAAATAATATCATGTAAAGTTCCAAGATTTTTCGGCGATTGCTGTAAAATTAGTACCTATTTTAAACAAATTTGAAATACCTATTTAAAAAATAGATATGATGATTTCAATGATTCGGGGGGGGGGAGAGGGAAGGCTAAGCACCCCCATGTTTTTCCGCCTATGTTAAACTACTGCACCAAAACGCGGTAGATTTGACGTCATAATATCGTCATGTTATTGCTCGAAAAACTCAAACGCGTGTCTTCCGGAAACTTTAGCACGTCAGACGTATGAAAAAAATAGCATCGTAATTAACGCGTTGTAATAAACATTGTTTTTTTTTTTCGCGGTCAGTTAGTTATGATGTAAAAGGAAAGAAAAAAAAACCGTAAAAACTGTCGGTAAACTATAACGTCGTTATATTCCCCGGCGCGGCGGCGTAACATACAGGAGAGTTACAATAACGCGACACGGTGTCCACGTATAGCAATGAAAAAATGTGTATAAAATACGCCCGAACCAGTTACGGTTCGGCCGCAGCGTACGCTTGTTGTTCCGATAGAGCTGCACACACGCGCACGCCTAAATAACATATTACAGATACGATTGTTATCTGTGTAAATTAACGCTGACCGTATAATGTGCGATAGTACTTAAAGGGAAAAAAAAAAATGAAATAACGAACCGGAGGAGACAGATGTTTGTGTGTGCGTCCGCAGCGCGTTTCCGTCGCCGCGCCGCTCACTTCGATGGGTCTCAATAACGGCGGCGGCGAAGTCTTTTGGGGATCGCGGGAGTCGCAGCAGGTGATTTTCGACCGATAGTAGTGCATTTCGGATGTATAACGCATAAAACAGCGAGCGTGTTGTGTCGTATTATAGTGTTATAGGGCCGCTCGACCGGAACGCGTTGTACGATCTCTTTTAATTGATTCCGAAATAGATGGAAAAAAAAAAATGGAAAATGTATATAGAATATAGGTAAAAAAAAAGTAATGTCGTTATCTACACCTTTGATCTTTCCGGGGGCATCCGAGAAATTGCTCTCGGTATATACGTGTGTATTTTTTATTTTTTTTTTTTTGTTCATGCGCTATCCGGTTCCAATTAATAATAACGTGTCCGAGGTCATTCTTTTTTTTTGGTGTATGTGTGCGCGCGCGTGTGTGTGTATGTAATTTTTCCCCGTTGATCCTGACGTTTTTTTTTTTTTTTTTTTTTTTATAAGCCGTGAATATTATTATTATGACCGCGAAGCCCGAATGTAATAACAGTTTATAATAACACGACGACAATACGTAACGTTTTAAAATAATACACGAGTCTGCGGGCAAGCCGCACGTCAAAATATTCAGTACACCGCGCACATCCGGAAACACGGTGCAGACTCGGCGCGGGTCGGTCCTTCCCGATCGTGTGTGTAGAGAATTTATTTTCGTAACGGATTCGCCGTTTTATTATTATTATTATAATGCTCGTAAGTCGTATCGTAAGTGATGTGTCACGGCGATTCATTGTTGCTGCGGTACGAGGCAGAATACACAATAGTCTCAAAAGTGCATTCACGATTTTTTCGTTGTTTACGTGTCGTAGTACTTCGAGTAGCTGGATACAATATGTGTAACGTTACAAATACGAATACAATTGAGAAACGTTTTATTTTCGGCGAAAATCGAATAGACAAGACCCGGGAACAATCGTCGCCCCGACGTACCGTTCAAGTGTTTCCAACACGATTATTGTGTAAAATGTGAATAAGCTGCGCATAATATGTAAAACGAAAAATAATGATCCATTTCAGTCACAAACTCCAACGTTCCGTCTCACTTTGCTACACCGGTACATTGTCTCAGGAATTTCCAAAACGGGGTGTTATAAAAAAAAAAAAAAAAAAAAAAAAAAAAAAAAATGCAAAATCGTTTTCACTATTTGCCGGGCCAAACACAAACGGAGTAGGACGCGCTCCTATACGAAAAATTATCGTTCTACAGGGACGACTTTGCGCTATTAGATTTAATATTAGAACGAATTGACCCATTGTCAAAAATTAAATTTAAGAACATTATCCGAACACATTATTGGTGTTTTATAATATTGGATTCAATATTAGAACGAATTGACCTGTTGTCAAACTTAAATTTAAGAACATTATCCGAACACATTATTGGTGTTTTATAATTAACTTAATTTCCAAGCGAACATTTTCTATAAGCATTGTTAAATTGTGGCATTCCACATACCACCCCGTGACTGATTCGAGAAATGAAAATATCGAAGAAACAGGTACGTTACTGAGATGATGTTCTTTTCTTTAAAAGTTCTTTTCATATACGCTATATCCATACCCTCTGTAGCTTTCTGTTTTTTCCCCGTCACCACTCTCCGCGTACGTTACATATTTTCAATTCTTTTATTCGTCCGTTTTCTTCGTCTGCCGAATTTCAATTCCATACAACATCGTTACTGATCGTATCAAGGTAGCGTAATTGATCATTTATTTTGACGGTAATCGTGAATTACTTTTTTTTTTTTTTTGTTTACATAGGTTTTCTGTTTCCAGTTATACATCGTCTAATTACCGTACTCGATACATTCTTATGATAATTTATAATAATATTTGTCAATTTATTTTCACCGCTCATCATTATCAATACGAGTATAAAGCTGCTGGTATTGATTCGACGACGGGAGTCTGCAATCACATATTGTCCTGCTTTATGACTTCTGTTTGCTTAGTTAGAAAATAAAATAAAACGATGACTGGTAAATTACTAATGTTATTAGCTAATGGATTGGTTAGGAGTCCATTAGTTCGACTTTTACTCTTACGAGCATTATCGTATTAATTCACTTGACGTGATGGGTACAAAAGTCGCAATAACGATTATACGGGCATTTAAGGGATTGCATTTTAGCGCAAAACTCGACTAGTTAATTTTTTTTTTAACAAAATACGTTTTAGACTAATGAAATTACTAATATTCGAATAACATACTAATACGTAAAAACGTTCATTTTACTGTTAAATATACAGTTGTTTTTAGTCATGTCAAGAGTTTCGTAAAAATCGAATTGATTATTACATTTTTTAGCGAAGTACTTGAAAATAAAACAATTCAAATTCACGATATATTATATCGATTTTATAAGTGTCTGGGTGTTGCGGGACTCAGAATCAAAATGATGTGCAATATGAACGGAAGTAACTGAATCGCATGTCTGACGACGTAACCTGTAGTTTAGGTTAGGCAAACCAAACATACAAAACATACTTTTGCATTTTGAAATACTTAGTAGGGCCAGGCACACAATTTGTTAACTATTTTCTTTTGTGAAAGCAGCTTTGGGGTACCGTCCCGCATCTGGGTTAGCTGCCTTAAGGCATTATAAATCAATTAATAAACAATGGTGTCTGGTGGGGGGGGGGGGGAAATAAGAGATCTCAATACTACCCCCTTTGTATCGGTGCCACACGTAAAAAAAAAAAAAAAANGGGGGGGGGGGGGTGAAATAAGAGATCTCAATACTACCCCCTTTGTATCGGTGCCACACGTAAAAAAAAAAAAAAAAAATGTTAACCAAACATAACCTAACCTGTAGATTATTAGACCCTCGGACGTGAGAGCGTCTGGAGTAAACGAAGTAATGAAGTCTTTGATACACGATGGGATCTCATTTGCGTACATACACGTTAAACTATATATTTTTAAATAAACTAAACAATTTACGTAATCATACTGAAATTTGAGTACAGTCGTTTATAGACTTTTATGAGAAAAGAAAATGAGACAGTCAATAACAAATAAAATGTAATTGAACAAATAAAATTACACATTTACATTATACTTTGTGATGTATAACTTATACATTTAAACACGAGGAAATAAATGTAATTAATTGTTTTCTTTGAATATTTCGTTCTCTGTTAAGCATTTTTATCGTATTACATTATTTGGTATTCTGTTTTTAAATATTTTATTTTCTCCATTATCAGTCTTTGTACGAAATATATCAGACGCTAAAAATCGATTAGAAAAGATTACCTTTCCGATGTGGTGAACGTCGATGGTCAAATAGGAAGCTAGTCAATGTGCCTGCAGGGATGCACGAGTTCATCTCGGTGGGATGGCTGAATATAATGCAAGAAGGTGGGACCGCGGGATAGAATATGAGCTCATTGTGCAGCCGAGCGCGAGAATAAACGGATTCGCGAAAACGGCGCTGATACCTATTATATATTCATATACAGGGTGATTATTTTATCACGATCTAATGATGTTTCACGGGAGATTTGATTGGTTAGTTTATGCAATATGCAATGGCGGTTTGATTTTTATTTCAATACTTTTTCGAGTTTCACTCTAACTCCTTATATAATTTAAATGAGTGTTAACTATAGATTTTTAAATAGCAATTCCATATTTTTTTTTTTTTAACAGATTTTGTTTTTTTTTTTCTGAAAACGTTGATACGAATAATACTTTTACTGAATGTACCGATAATGGTTTATTAAAGTTTAAAATTTAGTCCGGAATAGTAAGCCAGGGTAATACATTTCATATCTACTTTTAGATGATTATACCTTTCCCAACTCGCCCGCGGTCTGCATTCAATTAAATTCGAATCAAGCGTATTATAAAAATGTTCTCTAGTCGAATATGGTTAGAAAATCAAGATTTCACCAAAGGACGAGTTATCGAATTTGGGAATTGGTGTTTTACCGTAAACGTGCACCTAGAATACCAAAAGATCAATTTTTACTTTTTATTTATCTATGTTTGTAAGTATTTATAATTCAGTCGGCATTAAAATTATCAATGAAATCGAATAACTAGTAACCATTTATAATAATAATAATAATTAGTAATAATTAGTAACCGAATTATTAGTATGGTAACTATTTAGGTACCTATCTAATAGCCTGTAACCCCATTCACATGATAGTGGTTCGGAATTTCGAATAGATTTCGTTTTTAGCACAAAAAGTTTAGGTACGGCACGCGGCGTGTCAATGCACCACTACTCTCCTCCAACTCAAACTTAAAAGCGAAATAGCTCGTCAACGGACTTACGGAAATCAAAAATTTCAACACTGAAAACTTTATTTCAACTAATACTCCATCTGTTTGTGTAACTTTTAATATAGGTTGCCATTTGAAAATCAAAAGTAGGTAGTGGTTTCATCCCCGAAAATAAGGGTAACGAAAAATAACGTGAATACAAAATTGTAGTGCAGCTTGTTTCTTGAATGTTTTAGAAAACGGATTCCGGAAAAAGTTAATACTTTCCGAGGTAATGAGTATGGTGTCCACTTGAACGGATGACCACCCGGTGTTACCGAAGAAACTCGTAAAGAACGTCAATTTTGGGGGTGCTAAAATATTATGGACACATCAAAGATCCGCCGGAGAGCTGCCTCCGTAATCACCCGTACGCGGTTCTCGCAATAGTCAACTAGACCATTCATTAACAATTTCGTGCATGCTAATTTACCATAACTAAATTTTAACATTATTTTTCATGCACACGCGCGTTGTCTGTAGGCAACGCGTATTTTTGTCTGCTCGTCAATTATGATACGCACGGGTAAAATATTTAGTCGATACTGCGATCGGATTTTTCCGGGGTTGGGGGGGGAGGGGTGTGTGTGTTAATTTTAAACTCGGTGGTGCTAACGACGCCGCAGCATCCGAAACGCGCGTCCGACGGCACGGCCTCTACGGTTTTAGGCCGCCGACACGGAACCGACCCGACCTTTACAACCGTTATTGAGCCGTTCGAAAGCGTCGGACGCGGGAGAGCGCGCGGACTCCGGAGACGGCGGTGGGAAAATGCGGGAAAAACCGCGGTCGGCCGGGAACGTTTCGGAGCGTGGCGGCCGGGCCCCGTTCGCGCGCGCGTTTCGCAAACGAACGCGCCGAACGACCGGCAAACGGACCCGCCGCGCGGTATCGCGGCATATCAATAGCGCGGGTCCGAGCGATAAGCGCCCGCGGATTCCGCATCACCGTGTACGTGCGTGCGTGCGTGCGTACAACGTACACGCGTATAATAACGGCATAACCGCGGCATCGTCGGTCGGTCGGTCGGTCGGTCGGTCGGCCGTTGCGCGCGCGTGTATACGTAACACGCGTAGGTACGCGTATTATAATAATACAGTGTCGGCGGCGGCGCGTGGTTATTATACGACGAGGGTTCGAATAAATTAATTCGGTTTCTCGCGAGCGCGCCCGGGCGCAGCTGCGCGACGGGCGGAGGAGAGGGGTCGAGTTTCTCGCGCGCCAACCCGAACACGGTGTAGTATAGGTTAATTCGGCCGGGCGCTTTTCCGTCGCGGAAAATTCGGTCCCCCCCGCCCCGCCCCGCACCGCACCGCCCCCTCCCCATCCGTTTACACCTAGGCGCGCGCGTGTATACATATATATATACATATATATATATACATACATACATATATCTACGCGCACACATATATTATAATGAACTTACGCGGCGGCGGCGGCGGCGGACAGAAGGTATTTAGCAAATCACTGACACGGGAGACCGGGCGGCGGGAGCGCGCGTCGCGTATACACGCACACGCACACGCACACGGGGAGCGCATTGAAGTTCATCAAACCGCAAAATACCGCCGCCGCCATCAATTCCCGTGTGTGTTTGGCATCGCTGATTTGCATTCGCCCCGGCGAAATTATACACCTAGAAAGGGTCTTTCCCGCCCGGTCCCGCCGTCTTTTATTACGCGCGCGCGCGCGCGCGCACCCGCGCTAGCGTACAATACCGGCGGCGGCGGTTAATTGCGGACGCGGAAGCGTTCATGGAGAAACATTGCCGCGGACGTGTAATTAACGCGGACAAAAAGACGCGCCGCCGCCGCCGTCGTCGTCGTCGGTTTTCGCTCGTGGGCGGCCGCGTTCGTCGCCCGCGTCCCGCCGGCTCAAAGGCCGCCGTCGTATTATTATTTGTCTCGCGCTATCCACGACACACAATAACGTCGGTTTCGGTAAAACACCGAGGTGGGGCAGGGGTGGGCGCGGCGTTCCGAAAATTCGGATTCTTAACCGGACGAAATTATCGGTCCGTCAAAACCGTCGTTTCGTGTTTGCGGGTTTTCCGGTTATTTCCAAACCATTCCCAAGCCGCGACCAACACTAGTTGACGGTCGTAGTTTTTTATTTCTCCGGACGTATCGAAAATTCGACCGGAAATCTTGCTCTGGCGTACACGGTGCAGCGACTTTTCCGAAAGGAAATTTTTACTGGGGAGGTACTATAAGGGAGGTCGTTTTTCGATTTTCTCTAGAGTTTTCCCAGCAAATATGAAAAACACGGGAAAATCGGTACAATATTAAACAGATATTATCGACGAATAAATAAATAACGCCTATCCAATTATTTTACCATAATATGACATGTATTATATTGTTGATAAAACATCACCATCAATTGAACTCCACTTAGAATCGTTTTTTCGTTAGCAATGGTTCATCGTTGCTCACGTACAGAACATACCTAACACTCGATAAAGAAAAACGATCCAGTGGGGGAGGGGCGATCGCCTCCATTGGCCATCCTAAAAACCGCCACTGATCCGGAACGATCACGTAGTAACAATAATGCGATGTTTTAAGGTATACCTAATGATTCACCCGTCGCGACGAAAAATTAACATACGCCTCCCACTGCCAAAATCCCGTCTAATCTCTTGGCGTTGGATGGTTTTAGCTGTTTTTGGCGTGCTGGAGTTTATACGCGTGGATTAGATTAGATGGCGTTGGAAAACATAAGATACGCCTAAAAGCTTTATCGTTATAGGTGGCGATTTTATGATCGGAGGCGTATTCACAGGGAGTGATGTACGGGTAATATACCACAATAGTAAATATTTTCCTCCGGTTTAAATTTACCACGAAAATTTGATCTGACAGGTGGGTGGGGGAGAGTAATGAATAAAAAGTGATTATTGACATCTCTTTTTTTTTTTGATTATGTTAAAATGGTGGCAAAAAGGAAATATTTTCCGTAACACCTGTGTTTTTGTTTAACTCGATACAACGGGAGGGGTGCACGATGCTGACTATAACCAAAATACATCCGAGTATCAGATGCAGAGGATACAGTTCACAAATACGGACGTCCGACGGAGTTACTCGGTTATGACGTGAGCGGTATAAATATTATGTATTTTTTACATTTCGTCGTATTTACAGGCGATATATTTACGCGTTGTGTTTCAAAATTAAATCCGTCCAACGCGCACTTTTATCTCTAAACAAATAAAAATGATAACTACCTATATATTATATATTACGGTGCCGCCTGAGCACATTTATATAGAAATATCGTGTGACGGATCAACCGCTCGCGGTGTGCGGCAGTGATGGCCCCTCCTCCCGTTATAGTCACGCCTGTTTTCCGCACACAAATTTCACATATGTCCATAATTAATCGTTTTTTTACGGCCCTACTGTTTCGTTTGGATTCTGTAGTATTATTTTCAGTGGCGTCACGAATTTATATTTTTTGTAGAAATCGCCGCTTAGACTTTGGGTTTTGAAGTGGTTTTCAAATAAATTACGATCGGGCGAAAAGCCGCATTTGTCCCATTTATTGGGAAAACTCCTGGAAAAATCAAAAAACGACCTCCCTAAAGTACACCCCGGGAAAATTCCCTTTCTGAAAAGGTGTTACACTTTATTTCTGATAGAATTTGTGCGCACAAAATGAAAAAAAAAAAAAAAAAAAATTAACGTCGTAGTAAAACCAATATACATTCCTCGATCCGCTCAGAATCTAAAATATATTTTAACGCAACGTACTTATATATAATATAATATTATATACATCTATAGTGGATAACTGGTGACTATTTGATATTTATCGAAATAAAAACCAAAAGATATGCATTCGTTTTTTTCCACAAAATAAAATAAATGCGCATTTCAAACGTTTGGTTTTTATTTAATTTGTACTTTTATTTTTGTAGAATATCGTTTTCTAACTCGGTGTTCGATAAATCGAAAGCATTACTATCGACAAATATTATTTAACCGCCATACAGGGTGATTTTTTTTTATCATGAACCAGCAACCATCTCCGGGGATTTCAAGTGAATTTGATTTATGTTTTTCTAATCATTATGGAATTGTTTAACCTTTATTTTAAAGCCGTTTTTAATTTTTGCCCCTGCTCTATGCACATTAAACAAGTATACACGTTTGATTTTCAAATAGGAACCCCCTTCCTTTTAAACAAAGATTTAAACAGACGATATTTTTCTAGAAATTTTGATATGCACAACACTAATATTAGATTTGCCGTTTATGAGTTATAACGTAATGAGTTTAAATTTTAGACCGGACGAGTAGGGAAGGGTTAAAGATAAGTAATTCATTACCCTTCTCTACTCCTATACTTATTTAAGGTACACGGAGTAAGTGCGAAAAATAAAAAAAAAAAATAGTTTTAAAATAAAGCTTAAACAATGGTTAGGAAAAACAGAAATCGAATTCATTTAAAATCCTCTGAGATAATTGCTGGTTCATGATGAAAAAAACACACCCTGTATATTGTGCTACTACAATCACAATATAACAGAGATGTTCACTCGAGCCTAACCTAACCTTCGACAAATAAATACGTAAGAATATATTATAATAATATTTATACAACGATAACAGTTATTATCTTTATTTTAACAAGCCATCTCGGGCTCGAGACTGTACGCACGGACGGATAAACTGGTTTTTGTAAAAAATGATTCGTAAATTCGTAACAAAACGAAAAACCAACAGTGCGAGATGGTACCGTTGATATTATATAGGCGCCGTCGGCCGCTTATTTTTAACTCGAACGATTCTATTCGAAAACGATTCTAAACGTGGCTTACATTATACTAGTGCCGCGAACAATTCCCCGTCTATCTGTATAATGTTACACTCGTATTTTGAACAATACGACGGATAATTCGCCCCGGAAAAACGCATGCCTATCGTATAACAAACAATATTGTAATAATACGTGCGTACGTATCGCCGTGAGACTACGTTATTCTGTTCGGCGTCTAAAACGACTTGGGCATAATATTATTGTTAAAAATATGTATACAATTATTATCGTTGTGTAAACATTTAATCTGACGATTATCGCGCGAAAGCTATTGACTCAAAGTCGTCACATCACCAGCACCACCCCGACTTTTTCGAATGTTCAAACCTGAATTCGTGTACCGTTTTGGTAACGGTCGGATTATGTGACGAATAATTTCGGTAACCCCGGTAATTAGAATATCTCTGGTTAAATTTTTGTTTTTTTTTTTTTTGTTTTCGATAAATGAGTGCCATCAGCGTGATGTCACCCCCATCGGTTTGCTTATAACAAAATCGAAATACAATGGTTATTATTTTTCTTCTAAATTCTTTGGCTATTGTCGTACATTTAAAGTTTGTTTTTTTTCTTCGGGAAATGATTATAGATATTTATGATATTTTTAAAATATTGTCTCCGTGAGCTTTGTTGTACATATTTACATACAATTGAAGTATCTGTGTCTGTCCGTTCGGAAATAATCTCGGAAACGGCCCGAAACGATTCCAATGGGACTTTCACCGTTACATTTATCCCGGAATTCAACACCTGTCAGAGTGGATGGCACATGATTTTTCGTCGTATAACTCGAAAATCGAATTCGTCTTTTGTCTATTAGGACTACGACTTGGTCACACGAATGAAAATAAGGTGATACTGTTCACGGGTAGGCCGCTGTTCTTAGGTGGGCTGTCGGAATGGTCGGTATGTTCAGGTTAATTTAATTGGTAAACGAATAATCGATTTTAAACATAGTAGCACACGGTCAGTCGTGTTGTTTCCCTTATTGCTAAGGTAATCCGGTTTTAAACAAAAATTAAATAACACATTTCTCGTTGGTCCCGATCATTGAGAAAACTATAATGGAAATGATAACCTCCACTATAGCTAACCCAGTTAGTTGGGACTAGCCGTAATTTGCTTTCGAAAAAAAAAAAAGAAAAAATGACACGCTCGACGGTCGCAGTGAGATTTCCGGTTAAAAACGTGTTGTCTACTAAAAAAAAAAAAAAAAAACGCGCCGTAGCCAATACCCGCAGTGCGCGTGTATTATTCCTTGGCACACTCAGAACGTGAAAACGGTTTTCGATATTTATCGTTTGCATTTGTCACCGTCAAGCAGAGTCCGTTTTTTTTTTTTTTCTAAAAGATTTCGAATACGGATTATTGTGATCGCCGTCGATTACGTCGTAATAATAATAACGTGTTATGGTCGCGCTGAACCCGGTCGGGACGCCGTCCGTTCGTACGGATCCACGGACACCGTAAGACGGACCCGTTTATTGTGTTATTATTTCCGTCCGATACGATTGCGCGGCGAGACGATGGCCCGGTCGCGCCCGTACAGGAATGAAAAATGATGTGCTTTTCTTTTGACTGTCGAATGACGGCGTATCCGAGGCGGCGTTAATCCAACGGAACGGTGACGTAACGTCACCCCGTTGACCCCGCGCCGTCCGGGGTCCGGCCGCCGTCGCAGTTCTTAAAAAACCGACACGATATTTATAACTTTTTACGCCCATTGTAAACGGTCGCGCGCGCTGCACAATACGAATCGGTCGCGTTTGTTTTCGAAAACGTATTATATACATTGTTTTGTGTGTATGTGTGTGTATGTGTGTGTGTGTGTGTGTGTGTGTGTGTGTGTGTGTGTGTGTGCGCGCGTGTGTGCGTGTGTGTGTGTGCGCGCGTGTGTGCGTGTGTACAAAAGGACCACGGAAAATTTGAATACGACCGCAACAGCCAAAGGTCAGAACACACGCAGCATTTTATACATGCACACGACGAAAACAACAATGCTCGAATGAAAAAAAAAAAAAAAAAATAATAATAATAATAATAATAATAATAAAAACCGAACGTGTCGCCGCTTATATATTATTCAAACGGTAACCCCTTGTCGTCGTCGCGGTCGCCGTTCGTTTTGTACACGGGTACCTCTACCTACCGACTATTACTCTATACCTATACACACACACACACACACGCGAGTATACGACAGTACGAAATGTACGGTGTGCGTGCGCGCGTATATGTATGTATATTATTATCGGTGGGCGGCAGGTAGTAAAGCTTTATGATAACAATAGTGAAATAGAGAAAAAACGAAATAAAAAAAAAAAAAAGTCCAAAAGAAAAAAGCCACCCGAACCGGCGGCGGCGTACGTTGTTATTATTATAATATCGTGTGCGTGTGTGTGTGTGTGCGCGCGCGCGCGCGCAGGTAGCCGGTAGAGGTCGTGGCCGCGGCGTTATCACGTGTCGGACATCTCCGGAGGCGCGCGGCAAATTGCGCATAATAATATATTATTATTGTTGTTGTTGTTGTTGTTATTATAACGATACTCGCGCCTACCCGCGGCGCGATAACAATACCGCTGCGCCGACGCGTACTGAAACACTGTCGCCGACAATAATACACGGGGCCCGCGCGTGTTTACCAGACGTCGCGCGCGCGCGCCCCGTCCCGTCCGCGGCGTCGCCGCCGCGTAGGCGTCTGCTGCGGGGCGCCGCGAGAAAAACCGGAAAAACCGCCGCGTACGAGGCGCGCGCAGCACGCACCGGCGCCGCGCGATCCGCCGCTGGTCTTGCGGCGGACGGGTGCGTGACGCGAACACAAACAGCGCCCGCCCGCCGCCGCGCGTCATTCCGCAGCGTTGTCGCGCCCGCGGAAGACGACCCGAACGGTTTTGTCGCGGCGACCGAAACGGTCGCGTCCGAGCACCGGCACGGGATCCCGGAGACGGGAGGCCCGCACGCACTTTGGTCGGTCGACGGGTTGAACGCCGGCCGAATGGCGGGGTAGAACTGCGCGCGGTGCAATTGTAAAACGTGATTTCGCGTCATGGCAATGACAATTATGCGATACGCCGTTACACGGACACATTGTCCGTCCAATCGACAAACAAAAACAATTCGGTTGATGTTGGGGGTGGGGGGGTGGGGGGAACGGCACGTTTTAATATTATAGCGATGCGCCATTTTTTTTTTTTCTACGTATTTTATCGCGTGTAATTTCAAGAACACTCGTTTAGATATCGGGAAGAATTTTCGATGGACGGCGATCGTTTAAAATTTCCCATCATCGGCCATCGACTCCTACCCGATAATTCTGTGGAAAAAAAAAAAACGTTGGCTTTTCGCTTAAAATTTCGATAATTTTTTTTTTTTTTTATTTGATTTTATATTAATATTCAACAACCGCTGATTAAGATACAATTATAAAATTTGATATTCGATATTCTTAGATCGATTTTTAATAAATAAATAATAGAGTATACATTGTTATAAAATGTGCGATTTTCGGATATAAAAATTGAAAAAAGTGTGCGGTCTCGTCCTGTATTTTATCGCAAGTGTGCGTTTTTCGGATTCATCGATATAAACGTACTCGTACGGCTTGATGATACGCGACGACGTCCGATGTGTTATCATTATTATTAATGCCCGCGTCCAGTTTTATCGTTGATGTTGATGTGCGCCATCGACACCCGAACAAATCGCAATAATATTGTCGGAGACGAAAAACGGTTGGAAAACGAGACTTGTTTACATGTCACCGTGAATTACGCGGACGAAATTCCGTTTGAAAATCGGTTTCGCGTGATTTTTTCCGAACGGATTTACGGTGAAATTTTTATTTCGAAAAAGGTAGCGAATTTCGTTGAAAACAATGTTTGAAATCGCATAAAGTTTCTCCTGTTATTCTTCTGTACTGTGACACACGTATATATGCTCTCCGTGCGTTTTTAACCGAACTTCGCCGCATGCCTGTAGCTTAAATTAGCTCTCTCCAGTTTTCAACCGTCTTTTAAAATTGTCTACTTCCATTACCACTTAAATCCGATTGGACTGAAAAGATCCGCGGGAATAGACGTTTACCGCGGAACTTTCCCCGGGGGTCTTACTTCTCGGCGTTTCCGTCGCGTTTGCTGTCCGAATCGTCTCGTTTCATCCACTCCCGTTATTTCCTAATTACCGGATGTACCCAAAGCGTTGTACGCTTTGTCGCCCTTTAGCGAACATTGTCACTAATCAAACAGCGCTCTTCCGAACCTCGGTCGTCAGTTTCTCGTCGCTTCGACAATGGTAGGGCCGCATATTCCCGGGAGTTCTCATCGTTGACAATTTTCTATCAGTTTTTCCGGCTGTCGTCCGGTCACCGCTCAGATTCGATATTTGCTATAGTTATACACACACACATCCATTATATATATATATACTCCATTGTCTATTTATAAAATGTAAGCAAGTTCGTTACCGCTGACCCGGCGGCCATCGTTTTAAACGAGAAAATACGAATTCCGTTTTTCGAACGTGTTCGGGACGAATAACGCCGCATACGAATATTACAGAATTGCGCGCCTGTAACGCTCACTTTCCCGGTACACGTAGGTACAATATTATAATGTATCGCCAACCCGAAACTATATATACGCATATAATAATATTATGTGCCGGTAAAAGGAAAAATAAAACCCCCCGACCGAAGGATGCGCGAAATATACGAGCGCGTAAAATCCGTTTTATTCCGACCTATTGCGTTCGAGTAGTTGATCAAATTTGAGATGGCGCGGGCCGTGCACGCGCACTTTGTCCGGTCGTAAATTTATGTGCATTCGCGATCGACCGCGAGTTTAATTTTCCGGAAACAACAATTGCGGCGGACGAGGTGGCGAGTGATAAGAGATTGCGTTTCGCCGCGGTGTGTGTGTGTGCGCGTACGTTTAGTGTAGGAGAGAGGCAATCGCGTTAAAAACCGAACATGTGGTCACGGTCGATGCATCAACATCAAACCGCGGTCTATCCGCACACTCGCTATAATATACAGTCCCGGCGCCCTTGTGAATGGGGAGGGGGATAGGGGGCGACGGAAAGGGCATCCCTTTTTAGTTAATCCCGTGAACACTGGTGAAAGATGTGTTAATCCGATTAAAAGCCCCCCCCCCCTCTCACTATCTCCCTCCACACCGTGCCACGGCAGACCTTATAAACAACGACCTGCTCGCGCGATTCTTCCGGTCCGCCGATTTATCGCCTGCGAATAAAACCGGCGGTGGTTTTCGGTTCGCCGCCGCCGCCGCCGGTAATGTGATTAAATAATACAAAAATATATACGTATACAAAAGAAATAAAGAAAATGGTGACCGGCAAAAAAAAAAAAAAATAAAAAAAAATATTTATATTTAATCCACTCGTGTGACAATGCCGAATTGTTGACAATAACTGCTACGACCCGTGCGGTGTTCAAGGGGTAGTGCATAGGCAATTTTAACGAAAATGTAGAGAAAAATACGAACATAATTTTACTACCCATTCGAAAATATAAACGCAAGATAAAAGTGATTTCCGCGATAAAACGTTTCATAATGTAGAATTGAATGACCGCCTATAGCACAAATTCGTTTGTATAGCAACCTGTTACTGGTTCCCATTAAAATTGGAATCGGTTAAAAAAGAATCAAATTCGTTTTATCGGTTACATTGGTTAAGAAATTGGTTATAAAATGTTGTGACCATCTCGGATAGACGGTGACGAACGATAAATCCCCTCCAGAATTATTACTTCTCTTTAAAAAAAAACTCTGGCGACTCTCCGAAACTTTGGCGACCAGCGTGTTATCACCTTCCATGATTATGATGTTGTCAAACGATATTGATTTAATTTGACTATGGAAATTTCGTTGTAAATTGTTAACGTTGATATATTATTATTTAATTTCGTTTAATTGTTATTTAATATAGTTTTACGTAGGTACAACCGAGTGCAAAAGATATTCAAACTCTTTTTGATATTTTAGTTTGGTTCATTATCAATTTTTTTGCCTGTCTGTAAGCAAATTTTTTCACCGAAAAAACGACAATAACGCTTTTTTCGTAGCATTTTGAATCTAGTTGATATACTGAGAAGTGCATATTTTGGTTTATTTATTTATTAGAATCGCGTCATACATTTTTCTTGCGGTTTTCACTTCGTGTACCCTATCTTTCTAACTTTCCACCTATAACAGTGGCATACCCATGAGCATTATCTGCTCTTTTGTTTTTAACGCTGATAGATTTGTCTCGTTGTTTTCTATATTTTATTTTATAACGGGTATTTTAATTCCGAAACCACTTACAAACGTCTTTTCGCTTGTTCCACGTGTTAAAAATATATTTTACGACTATATATTTCTGCGATGTAAACTTACGGATATTGCGAATTTACAATTGAATGGTACACGGAAGAAGAGCAGTAGTCCTTTATTGTCGAGATAATGGTACCGTCGTTCGCCGGTGGTTCGAAATAACTATTATCGGATGATGTGCTCAATTCTGTGAACAAATACGTTTCAGTAAAATAATATATTGAAGGCGAAATATAAAATGTGCTCCGCGCAGCTGTATATGGAGAAGTTTTGTTCTGCCGAACATTTTTCTATAAAACGCGTTACACCCGTCTTCCCGCGCGCGCTTCAATTGTATAATCCGTTCCAAGAGTCAGAATACATTGGTGCTGTTTTTTTGTTTTTTTTTTCAGGTCATGTGCCCACTGTGCACCATCCTCTCTAGCGTATTTCGGCGGTGTATAAAAAAATAAAAATAATACGCAGCGAAGAAGACGGAATAGGAGTTTTTCAACCGACGTAGTCGTCGACTCAAAAGGAATAGTATACGGGTAGTGATGTAGTACAAACACCGCGGTGGTGTTCCTATACACACAAAAGGAGATTGTATAACGTTTGCGGTCGTATATTATATATATATATATATACAAATTCGAAACGGGAGACGAACAAAACCAAAGGAGTCGCAGAAGCAGCAGCAGCAGCAGCGACAGTAGTGCGAGAAATACAAAATAAATAAAAACCCGATGTATAATACTTTAGCTCCGAGAAATTTAAATAGTGTTTATGTAAAGTGAAACGTACCTACCTGTGTATATTTATCGACAATTTGCATTTTATTGGTAAACCGTCTCTTTCGATATTATTGTAATAATAATAATAATAATAATATAGTCTTGCGGTTTGTATACGTATATTATAGTACGTATAATACAGCAGATACCTAAACGTTTTCTTTTTGACTGTCTGCTACCGAGTCAACGCCGCACAAACGGTTGTCTATACCGCAGGTTAAATACGAACGGTTACGGCGGGACGTAAACACAAAAATTTAACGTGCTCCTAGAAAATGCACGTCTCGTTTTAAAAAACAGGAAAAACGATAATATTTATACACACGTCGAGTTTTAGACGGATAAACAATAACCGTAACATAATTTGAACTATTATAAGTACACAATTAATTAATAACAACAATAATAATAATAATAATAATGTATTGTAAAGAAGAAAATTTACAATAAGTGATAACGCCCTTTATGGGCTAAGAGTACAGATATATAGCGTAAATACGGAATACATTAAGTGAGAAAATGTAAATATTTATCACAATTAAATATTTATATATATCAAATTAAACGCATTTCTACATATATTTTTAACCGATAATACAATAAACAAAAATTATAAGTTATTACTTAGAACATTTTTTAACTTCCTTGGTGGATCAAAAAAAAATTAAAGTTTTTAATGGAATTGCCATTTAACAAAATTCTATACATAGGCGCGTAACGACTGTAGTTTTGTTTTTTAGGAAATTAATTTCGTTTTTAAATTTAAACGCGATACTTTCGTATAGGTAAGTATGTATTATGTCATAATATTGTTACATTCATTTTTTAGAAATTATCATTTGCGAAGTCGTGCAGGAATCAAAACCTAAAATAAAAAAACCTCGGCATCAGCGTGTTGAACTTGTGTAGCAAGACCCTACTTACACCATCTCTGTGTAAAAAAATTATCAGTCCCCCGCCCTCGAAATTATATTAATCGTATTACGTAAACCACAAAACTGAAAACATTTAAGTATTTTAAAGTCGGATGAATCATTCTGAATAACCCCGAATTATTGTCACTGTCCGTTTGTAACTCGAGAAAAAATGTATGCTCTTTTTTTTTTATGTTTTCACTTTATTAAACATTACAATCACCGAACGGAAAATAAAAATAATAATCGAGTTACCACGTCAAAATATTCTTCGGTCTTATTCTATTCACTATCTCAATATTCTCCGAAGCGTAACAATAATGATACCATTAACAAACCACTGTAGTTTTTAGAAACTACACAAAATTATTCGTTGATAGGTATAGGTGTATACCACTTACTCCTTCATTTAAGTAAAATATTTTTCTATATACTTATATTAATCGAGTTTCATCAATGAATTTACTTGAAATATTTTTAACTAACTCGTTGGTACGTACTTTTGCCTCCGGGCGTTATACTGAAATAATATGATAGCTAATGGGGTTAATACCATAGCTTTACCATTATGTTTAGATTTATTGTGTCGTCGGTTTATGCGGTTAATATTTTCTCCGTTTTTTTAAACTAATTGAGCAATACTGTAATTTATACATTTAAAAGATAAATAAATAAATTTAAGTTCAAAATCGTGGATAAACATATTTTCGATTCTAACAGCGTTGTTATTATTATAATTTTTAATGAAATACGAGTGAAAATCGTACTCTGTATATTTTTGTAGTACCTATTCTTCTTCTATCTATCTTCTGTCTCAAAACGAATGCATGTCTGTTTGTCCTTTATGCATTATTGCACCACGTTTCACGTTATCCGGATAGCATTACAACTATTAAAATCCATCCCCTATTGAATACCATTTTCTAAAATTCGGTTTTTAGGTATTTTCAGTATACAAATCTAATTATTTTTGCAGTACATTATTCCTGTGCTGTGCGGGTATCTAATAGTAATGGCATATAATGATAATTTATCCGTTAACTGTATTTAGAAACTTTTTTATTGCACGGGCAAAGCCGGGCAAGACAGTTGGTAGTTTATACAAATATTGTGTATCTCGAAAAATGTGTTGCATTTAAATTTCATTAATACCCGTATATTGATATTAAAATCGCGGCTACGAAAAAATTGTAGCTTATATTGATTAGCCGGCTAAAAAATAATACAAACAAATGTATAGTACTACTAATCATCAAAATCATTATGCACACATTCTTGATTAAAAAACGTTAAACATTATTTTATGCCTAAAATATGCATTATTATTATTATTATTATTTTATAACTCAACTAGTTATGTATAATTACCTGGTGATTCCCGGGCTCAAACCTTACAAAAACAAATATCAATAAAGAAATTCAACTTAACGTTTTCTCGGTTTTCACCCTTATCCCCATCACGTTTATCCGGTAATTTATCTTTTAAAAAGGATGCATGCGTGTTTGTGACAACGAAATTAAAGAATAATAACTGTTTTATTTTTCATCCGTGTCGTCAAGGTTACCCATAAATCAACAAAAAAATTTAAATTTTGTTCCGAAATACCAAAACCTCTGTGTCAGACACCATTTAGGGGTTGAATTTCGAAATAAAAGTAGACAGCGACCATACTCTTGTTTTTAAATTTAAGGTCGGAATAAAAATGTAAATCTGTATAGTGGAGACGCACACAGGCAGACTTCCAATTATGTGTACATTATACACACCTAACATTTTACGTTACATTAGGTGTAAGTTCTTGTGAACCGAAAAACACCGATCGACCTGGAACTTCAATTATTGTTAAGTAAGTATATTAAACAGATTAGGTATTTGATAGGACTCGTCGGACTTTCGGGTATTGTTTTCTACTATAACTCGTCGGTTTAATGGCGTGGAAAGCTTTTTCGTATAAATTATATGCCTATACGATATGCATAGTATAAGTAAGTTCGTAATTTATAAGCTATTTAATGAGTGATTATAGTTTGAAATGTATTATAAACTCGTATAGCGACCAAATTAGTCTGGTAGTTTGATGGGATTGATCGTATCAAATCTAATATTCAAGAACGAAAGGGCTATTGCACATATGATGTAATAAAAATACACTTTGTGTGTTTTGCATAATTATGCGCGACAAGAAAAAAAAAATGTAGGATGTCTATAAATATAAGATTAAAATATGCATTCTCTAAAGTGTTCTATGTACGATGTTTGCCAAAATTTGAGCTTAAAACGCGTGTAAAAAAAACTACCTCCTAGTACAATTCATGATGAACCTCAAATCACCTTATGCCACGCTTGAAAATTAAAATATCGAAAAAATGGCACACAGATAATATTTTTATCTTTGAATTTGATAACGGGTCGATTCATTCTAATATTAAAACTGATAACACGGTGTTGTCTTTGCTGAACGCACACATTTGCTAGCTATGTCATGTGTTTGTAACACGGACACTGTTCGTGCGGGTATCACGTCCTTTTAAATGCGAACATCTTATCGAGTGTTTAAAACTAGACTGCTCAGAAAAGTCTTCGGCGGATGTTGGAATTCGATGAACTATGGTCGACGGCCGACGAACTCGAGATACCAACGGTCGGTAATACAAGTCCTGAAAAATATTGATAAAGACTTGTATGGTTCAACCAAATTCTGGGTGGGGAAAAAAGATTAGTCCAATAGATAGATGATAGTTTATTCTTCCTCCTAAACAATTCCAAAAATTGGACTTTCTTGTTGTTGTACAGAGCTGTCCAATTAGGAAATTGTGTGACAACTCGTATAGGCAAAAGGCATCTATATTAAATGAGTGGTTCTTTTAACTATTGTACCGTGCGATTAATAGGGATTTTACCAAAATCTCCTAGGAAAAAATGTCCGCAGGTAAAAATATCCGCAGGTAAAAAAATATAATATGTTCCTAATTGTTATATAATTATAATTTATAAATTTAAATAATAAATTAAATAGACACTGTTTTAATACCTAATAATAATATTAATAGGTATAATTAAGTCGATTATTAAATCGTCTTAATTTTGGTCTCAAAAGTAGTAAAAATGACAACGATAAAATTTACTAAAAAATGTATTATTCTACTTTACTATACAATTTAATTTAATTAATTAAATTTAATGATATGCGTTTCAAAAAGTTTTCATACATTTTTTTTTTATTTTGGTGGTTCGATATTTTTTTCTTTGATCAATTTTGCACTAGCCAATCCCCAACTCCAATCTCATTTTTCAATTAATAGCTGGGTGGGAATGTGGAAATAATTTGGAAAACCTAAGATTTCGTTCCTTAGTTTCGTTTTGTTCGTTTTCTAGCTATACCTACAGTGTACAAGCCGGACATTTTTATCTCACACATTTTTTCCCGGACATTTTTATCTACAATCGATTAAAAAATGCCATTGAAATTATTATTATGCGTAAACAGTCGATAATTTGAAATTTCGTACTGTATTTGTTAAAGATATCGCATAAACTAATAATAACTGTATTGGTATAATTTATTCGCTACATTTGTATTTATATACCCTGTATAAATTCAAATAAATACGGATGATAAACATAATATTTTTGTTTAATTTTGCATTACTGAATAAATAATTATTATTGTTAATTTATTAGTATTTATTACAACTGCTTTTTAATATCTACCAAACACACACACACATCTGTCTGCAGCATCCATTATACTCGAATTATTGAGTGAATCGAGATTTAGACTGAAAAAACACATTTCGATTTCAACGAATTTGAAACATGCGCTGGAAATGTATTATAATATATCTACAAATGTTTCGGTTCGAAAGTGTTGATCATTCGATATCGAATCTACTCGATCGTTTAGGTTGTATCAATATTTTGTCATCGAGTAAGTGCACCTATATCTCCTACGGTATAGAAGGAGGGTAATGGAGCATCATTTGTGTGGTGGTGTTCGAACAGTGCCGGTAAAATTTCGAATTCGTCTACGGTTGAATCGAAAACTCAAAATCGCCCTTATGCCATTAGATAGGTATGTACAGTGTACTTTTTAGTCGGTAAAAAAAAAAATAAAGAATACCTACTGTATCAATTTTTGCTAAAAGCTTCTCGAGTGTCACTCGAATGACAGCGGTGGTGGCGGGACGGCTAAATGGATATTTTATTGGAAATATTCAAATATACAGACCACTTGCCAAACTGCGTTTATGTACGAGGTTACAATATTTTTCTCCTTTTTTTTTTATTTCTCTCGTTATTATAAGTGTTATTCAACATTTGTATATATTATTATGTTACGTATTTACTCTATAGGTAATATCATAGTACATTTAAACTTTTTTACGTTAGCGCGGCGAAACACACACACACACATACGTTATCGCGATTTGTTGTACACACAAATGTTTCTCGAATGTACGTAGTTACATATATAAGTAAAGAAGTAAAAATATTCGTACGAAACAACATTTTCTACTGTACTTGTATAAAGATACGCGCATCACAAACATATCAACGACTGTGTATGACTGATATACAAGTTGTATGCTCGAACGATACAA